GTAAAAGTAACGCCCAAATATTTATAGGAGGACACACACTCCAACTTTAGACCTTTATAGTACCAAATCTCTTTTCTTGACAACACTCCGCCTTTCTTAAAAACAACCACCTTGGTTTTATCCAAATTGACATCTAGATCATAATCATTACAATATTTTTCTAGAACATAAATACGCTTCTGAAGTCCACCTATAGTATCTGCGATTAAAAAAATATCGTCTGCAAATAATAACAGGAATATCTCTGTAATATCAGGATGAAGTTGTATTCCTGGTCCAGAATTCTGTTCAACTTCAGCAGCTAGTTCGTTAATAAACATCGAGAATAAAAGGGGGCTTAACACACAACCCTGACGTACTCCTCTTGGACACTGAAACATTTCAGAAAATGTATGTTTAAATTTAACACTGGCCTTAACAGCTGTATAAATAGACCGTATAGCTTTTATCATTTTGCCAGCGACACCTTTATTAGCTAGTACTGACCATAATTTCATCCGGTTTACACTGTCGAAGGCTTTTGCAAAATCGACAAACAAACCATATACCCTACCCTTACGCTTACTAATATATCTCTGGATAATACACTGTAGTATAAAGATATTATCTATGGTGGAGTAATCATGACGAAAACCAGCTTGGGACTCTGCAATTTTACCATAGACCTCACACCAAGACGTGACCCTTCTGTTCAAAATAGAAACATACAACTTACTCAGTGCACTAAGGACTGATATACCCCTATAGGATGGGGAATGGATATCTCCTCGCTTATGAATCGGAACAATAATTCCCAAAGACCAAGATTCAGGAAAGTATGCATTATCAAACAAATTATTAAACAACACTGTAAGATACGGGACAAAAATATCATTCGCATATTTAAAAAATTCTGAAATGAGGTGGTCATTTCCTCCGGATTTATCAATTTTCAAAGAGTTGATAGCACAAAGCACCGGCTCTTGTGAAATGGGGGAGTCCAGAATATAGCAACTCATATCATCATGACTATCATTAATAGTCGTGTCGGTGTTAACCATATCTTCAGCTCTCGGATTGTCAAACACATCTTTAAAATGATCGACCCATTGTTCTAGTGATATGTTAGGTACACGAGTTGCCGTACTCTGAGATAATCCTCTTATGGTAGACCAGAAACATTTACTATTTGGAAGACTAGATAAAACCTTATTACGCATATATTCATTATAACTTTTCTTTTTATCACGTAATAAACTTGTATAAGTATTTCTTGATTTTAAATAACTTACTAAGGTGCTATCACTTTTAAGATGTCTATATATTCTGAGACACCTCTCTCTCTCCCACCTGTAGTACCGACACACGCTATCAAACCAGGGTTGTGTGTGACTGTCGCGAGACTTACAAGACCTTTTCATGCACTGAGCAGCTGTACAAATGGCGTCCGTGAATGAGTTAATAGCACCATCTATATTATCTGGTAGTAACAGAGTACATTGTTCAAAACAATGAACCACATGTGGCAGCACAAGATTATCCCTGAACTGTTGTAGTTTCGCCATGTCCCACACATAGTGGTAGTTTTCACGAGGCGCACGTGCGGCCCCTGCTGTCACAACGGGAATCTCCAGGTCACGTGCTTGAAATGAACAAGATAGTGGAAGGTGTGAGGATTCTGCCCTGGACACAATATCAAATGTATAACAGTGGAAGAATAGACTGTTGGATACAATAATGTAGTCTATTATATACGTTCGAGCAGCTGTCCATCTCTCAGAAATAGAGTTAGTTTGACCTTCGCCATTGCATCTCTTGGCTTTAGGAGATCTATGACAGATAGCGGATCTACCTGCAATTCTTGTTTTAACCTAGCCCGGGCTGGGGCATGGTCTTGACATTCTAGTAACAGGTGGTCAATGGTTTCAGCCTGATTGCAAGATGAACAAACCTTGTCATAGTGCTTTCTGTGACCAAGTCTGAGGCTTGAGATAGCAATTTCAATTTTTCTTTCATTTGAGTATGAGTTTGGCTTTTGTTGGACCTTGGGTTGAATTTCGTATAGCCATCTGCCGATCTTACTTGCGTCCCATTCGGCTTGCCATCATTCTGCTATGGAGGCTTTGATTTTGCTTTTTATCTCTAGTTTACTAAAGGGAATAGGCTGTATATCCGCTTTGTCTAGAGCTAGCTTCGCCAGTGAGTCTGCTTTTTCATTTCCATGAATATCTATGTGAGAGGGGATCCAACACAGCTCCACCTGTTGCCCTTGGTCCGATAGTTTTGTATATTCGTATAGAATATTGTTGACTGTGTTTGGCCTGGAGTTTGAGTTTCTGCCACTGATGGCCTGAAGTGCACTTAGGGAGTCTGATAGGACGACTGCCTTTGCTTCCGGGAGTTCCGGTATGAGTTTGAGTGCATGATGAATTGCCTCCAATTCAGCCGTGAATACTGACTGACCATCAGGCAAGCGAACTGAATGTGCTTGGGGTTTGGAGCTGTGGATATGGATCCCGTAACCAACACTGTTGTTGATAGGATTCTTGGATCCATCAGTGTATATATGGGCCCAGCTGTCCCAGGTAGTTTGAATTTTAGTGATAGCTACTGATCGTAGTAGGGATGGGTTTTCTCTTTTAGTGACTTCTGATGTTAAAGCAGTGTCAACTTTGGGAGTCCAGGAAGGGTGTAACCCTTTGTAGTGACTTTCTGGAGGCTGAATGTCATCGCAATTGTGACTTCGAATGAGTTCACGTACTAATATCCCAGATGGCTTTAGTGAGGGATTTTTTCGAGCTAGGGCTTCATCTCGAGTGTTTTTGTCTTGCCATATCTTTTTAACCAAAGGGTTTGATGTTCGTCCCCAGAACGATAATAGTGCCTGCTCTCTTCTTAGTTTCAATGGGAGTTCTCCCGTTTCTACTTGTAGTGCTTCTAGTGAGGTACCTGTCGCTGCGCCTGTGGCTAGCATAAGGGCTTTGTATTGTATTCTGTCTAGGCGCCTCAAGACAGTATGTGATGCTGAATGAAAAGCCTCAGAACCATAGTCAATTTTTGATCTGATAAGAGCTTTGTAGAGGTCCAGCTGAGTGTCCCTCGATGTGCCCCAAGATGTGCTTGAAATTGCCCGTAATACGATCAGGTCTTTTTGACATCTGTTTTCGACATATTCTATATGCTTGCGCCAAGTGAGGTGTTGATCAAGGATCACCCCAAGAAATATTGCAGATTTTTCGAATTTGATAGGTTTGCCTTTTATGGAGACACGGGGTATCATAGCATCTTTCCCCCGGCGTTTGAATAGAACTCCAACAGTTTTTTCACTTGAAAGGGTGAATCCCCATTTATTGCACCATTGATCTACTCCGTCCAGGGCTGACTGGAGTTTTTTTCTGATTTGTGAAATATCTCTGTGCTTTACCCATATTCCTCCGTCATCAGCGAACTTAGAAGTTTGGGTAGGAGAGTTGACATGGTCAAAAAGATCATTGATCATGATATTAAACAGGGTTGGGCTTATAATGCTGCCTTGTGGCGTGCCATTGTCCAGTGCCATAGGATCCGATCGATTGTTCCCTATTTTAACTGATAGCGACCTGTCTTGCAGGAAGCTGTCTATGAAGTTTGCCATGTTCCCTTCTACTCCATTTTGTGCTAGTTTTGAGAGGAGTCCGTCATGCCATACCATGTCGAAGGCTTTGCTGAAGTCCAGAAATACTGCGGCTAGGTATTGTCTGTTTAATTGAGCTTTTTTTATTTCATTTTCCAGTCTTAGAATATGATCTAGACACGAGTGTCCCTTCCTGAAGCCACTTTGGTCAGGTTTTATGTGGTTGCCAGTTTCAAGGTGATGCATGAGCCTTTTTGTAACCATGGCTTCCATGGCTTTGCTCATGTTTGAGGTGAGTGAGATCGGTCGATAAGAGTTTGGTAGGGCTTCGTCTTTCCCTTGCTTTAGCAGCGGGATAACCGCAGCATGTTTCCATGCTTTAGGGACTTCTCCTTTGGACCATATCGTGTTATACAACTCAGTGAGTAAGCCTTTGGTTTGATCGGGTAGGTTTTTCAATATCTTGTAGCTGGTTGTGTCAAGACCAGGTGCTGTGCCTTTTCTATGTTGTATCGCATCATCAAACTCTGTCACAGTAAATGGTATATTGTATACCAGATGCTTGCTTTGCGGCCGTTTTGAGATCTTAGGCATAAGCATTTTTTCCTGTTTGAATTCTTCGCTGCAATTTGTGTTGCTGCTGACAGATGAGAAGTGCTCGGCTAGAATGTTGGCCTTTTCTTTGACTGTATGGGCGTTGGCTAACTTGGGAATTTTTCGTGTGTTTACGCTTACCCCTGATTGCGTGTATTTTGCTCCAGACTGTTTTAGCATTTGTTTTCTCATTAAGGGATTTGCAAAAGGTCTGCCATGACTCTTTTTTAGAATCGTCTATGAGTTGTCTTACTTTTGTCCTGGCTGCTGGGACTTGGGCGAAGGCTGATTTATCCCTTTTTGACCTATTTAGGGCTCTCTCTCTGTACAATGTATTTGCTAATGTAGTGGGTTGGAGGGGCTGCTCGTCTTGGTCATCATGGAAGGGGATTACATGTCTCAAACGTAACTCAGTGTCACTTGGTTAATTGACTTCTCACGAATCAAAGGATTACCACCAGCGGAAGGATTACCACCACCGGAAGTGTATTGTCCGGATAAGAGAGACAGTTTTGAGTGCATTTCAGTGTTTTGTGTATGAAAATGACCGTCCGGTTCCGGAAACTGAATTTCCGGATATACGGGGAAATTTATATATATTAGTAATTATTTCGTTTTGAATGAAAATCGTCCGGGAACCGAGGTTTCCGTATATCTGAAGTCCGTATAAGCGGGGCATGACTGTATAAGCTGCATCTACTGGTTGAAATGCCTTACTTTGATAACACTAATTATGTTTAATGTGACCCAATCAACTATAACAACACCGAATGTATCCTGACCCACTTCTCATATAAGCTTTTGTGAAATTAGCCTCCATAACAGCTATTATGTGAATGCATCTGTTATTCGATAATCAACAAATTATAGACGAAAGCTCAGCACTGTGCTCTTCGGCTCCCACAGAAATGAAAGTTGTTCTCCTCGTTACTTTCCTTGCCTTTGTAACCAACGCCGCTGGAATTTTCCCAGGTATGGAGGCTTAATTGGCTTTCATTTGAATTGATTTATTTTGCACGAAATATGGAGAATCCTTGCAACATTTATTTATCGAAGCAATATATGCATGTTTAATTGTATTTTCAATGACCCTTCATACTTTAAATTACCAAATAGTATTGGCAGTGAGCTAAAGCAATGCTGAGATTTGTCATTTGTTAAAAAAACTGTTAGATTTATAACATGAGATTTTGCAATGTATATTTACTTTTATTGTAACTGAACTGGCTGTGACACTATGTTTATGTCATAAGGCCATGCTACTTTTATCAGGGTGCCCCGACGATTGGACACAGGTGAAGAGAAAGTGCTACAAGTTTGTGAACGAAGAAGTTAAAAGGGATAATGCATCTGCCACATGTGGAGACCGCTATGGTGCTACGCTGGCAACGATTCACAATAGGGAAGAGAATGTAGCCGTCCAAGGTATGTTGAAATGTGTATACATTTAGGCATGATACATAAGGCTGATGTTAGTGAAAATAGTGAGTGAAGTGGTATCAGTTGTGTCTGATAGGAGTTTTGCATCTGAGTAAATACAACAACCATGATAGTTTCCTATGCGGTGTGTTTGTTTGTTTGTTTGTTGTTTAACGCCGCACTCAGCAATATTGAAGCAATTTGTAACATACTATGGTACATATAATAATTTCAAAATTCCAACTGACATTGGTTTTGGTTGTATTTTTTCTTTAAGTATTTAGTAGTCATTAATTTGGCTTCTCTGGTACTGCCACAGTCATTTCAACTGTTTTGATCATAGTCAGTCATTGTGCTTTTAAACTTCTGATTGATAAATATTGTGATTCGACATCTCTGATAACCAATAAAAATCGCGTATTCCATGGAATCAATACGTCATGGCAATGATTCTCTATACAGTGTAGCCACAATGCCGTCAACAGGGTAACACATTTATTCGTTATCAAAGTACTCTTAAGTGGCACAAACATTCTCCAATGAACTTGCTCTCACGCTGCTCTGCACATGTACTCAACATGAACTTACAATCACGTTGTACATGATGGCCTTCATGAAGTTACACTTAATTTGTACGAACATACTTCTCATGAAAATAATCACCAGTTGTACATACATGTCCCTCATCAACTCACTATAAGGTTTGACATGAATGTCACTCATGAACAAACTCTCCAGCTTTACATACATGTCACTCATGAACTTACAATCAAGCTGTACATACATGTCCCCCATGAACCTCCTCTCAAGCTTTACATACATGTCACTCATCAACTTACTCTCAAGCTGTACATACATGTCACTCATGAACAAACTCTCCAGCTTTACATACATGTCACTCATGAACTTACAATCAAGCTTTACATACATGTCCCCCATGAACCTCCTCTCAAGCTTAACATACATGTCACTCATCAACTTACTCTCAAGCTGTACATACATGTCACTCATCAACTTACTATCAAGCTGTACATACATGTCACTCATGAACCTACAATCAAGCTGTACATACATGTCCCCCATGAACCTCCTCTCAAGCTTTACATACATGTCACTCATCAACTTACTCTCAAGCTGTACATACATGTCACTCATGAACAAACTCTCCAGCTTTACATACATGTCACTCATGAACTTACAATCAAGCTTTACATACATGTCCCCCATGAACCTCCTCTCAAGCTTTACATACATGTCACTCATCAACTTACTCTCAAGCTGTACATACATGTCACTCATCAACTTACTCTCAAGCTGTACATACATGTCACTCATGAACCTACAATCAAGCTGTACATACATGTCCCCCATGAACCTCCTCTCAAGCTTTACATACATGTCACTCATCAACTTACTCTCAAGCTGTACATATATGTCACTCATCAACTTACTCTCAAGCTGTACATACATGTCACTCATGAACCTACAATCAAGCTTTACATACATGTCCCCCATGAACCTCCTCTCAAGCTTTACATACATGTCACTCATCAACTTACTCTCAAGCTGTACATACATGTCACTCATGAACAAACTCTCCAGCTGTACATACATGTCACTCATGAACTTACAATCAAGCTTTACATACATGTCCCCCATGAACCTCCTCTCAAGCTTTACATACATGTCACTCATCAACTTACTCTCAAGCTGTACATACATGTCACTCATCAACTTACTCTCAAGCTGTACATACATGTCACTCATGAACCTACAATCAAGCTGTACATACATGTCCCCCATGAACCTCCTCTCAAGCTTTACATACATGTCACTCATCAACTTACTCTCAAGCTTTACATACATGTCACTTATGAACCTACAATCAAGCTTTACATACATGTCCCCCATGAACCTCCTCTCAAGCTTTACATACATGTCACTCATCAACTTACTCTCAAGCTGTACATACATGTCACTCATCAACTTACTCTCAAGCTGTACATACATGTCACTCATGAAGCTACAATCAAGCTGTACATACATGTCACTCATGAACCTCCTCTCAAGCTTTACATACATGTCACTCATCAACTTACTCTCAAGCTGTACATACATGTCACTCATCAACTTACTCTCAAGCTGTACATACATGTCACTCATCAACTTACTCTCAAGCTGTACATACATGTCACTCATGAACCTACAATCAAGCTGTACATACATGTCCCCCCATGAACCTTCTCTCAAGCTTTACATACATGTCACTCATCAACTTACTCTCAAGCTGTACATACATGTCACTCATCAACTTACTCTCAAGCTGTACATACATGTCACTCATGAACCTACAATCAAGCTGTACATACATGTCCCCCATGAACCTCCTCTCAAGCTTTACATACATGTCACTCATCAACTTACTCTCAAGCTGTACATACATGTCACTCATCAACTTACTCTCAAGCTGTACATACATGTCACTCATGAACCTACAATCAAGCTGTACATACATGTCACCAATGAACCTCCTCTCAAGCTTTACATACATGTCACTCATCAACTTACTCTCAAGCTGTACATACATGTCACTCATCAACTTACTCTCAAGCTGTACATACATGTCACTCATGAGAGTGAGTGAGTGAGTATGGTTTTACGCCGCTTTTAGCAATATTCCAGCAATATCACGGCGGGGGACACCAGAAATGGGCTTCACACATTGTACCCATGTCGGGAATCGAACCCGGGTCTTCGGCGTGACGAGCGAACGCTTTAACCACTCGGCTACCCGACCGCCCCTGTCACTCATGAACATACTCTCAATTTTTCATGCATCGCCCTTATGCAAAACCTTTATTTCATTGTTATTATTTCTAGATCTTATATATGGCCACAAGTATGCGTGGATCGGTCTGGATCGCAGAAATGGATACTTTCGTTGGGACGGCAGATATAAAGTAAGACAAATACATATCACGAACGTAATCTACTAAAGTAAGAGGTGAGGTTTGCTTGCTTGATTTTGATGTCTTTGTAGAAATCTTCCAGAAACAACAGGATGACGGACGCGCATAATTCTTTGAAGGAGAATGCCACATCTGTTCTTCAGCGCCGCTGGTGAACGCGTACCATAACTCTGCCTACGTTCCTTCTTTTTCACTGTCTGTGCTTGAGATCAACTTAAAAATACGCAAAGATATACTTTATGCACACCACTACAGAAATTACAGAAAAATGTCCATATAAGCGCACCTGAGAAGTGAAGACTTGATTAATTGAAATATGCCACTGGTCTCTTCAATCGCCGGATCAGATACATTTCAGGAAGCACTGCCTGACTTTGGTAGTTTATATACTCACAGCCAAAAGGTACGCGAATACCATACATGTTGTGTGAACCGACGCTCGTGAACGCATCACATGTGACGTCATGGATCTATGACACGATATTTGTCTCGTGCAGGAACTCACGCATACCATCATAAGAACAAGGACACGCCGTGGTAACACTTGACTGATTGTTAGATTTGTCATTAAGTGGTACACATTGTAAACATCTCTTCTTAAAATACATACTTCTCTCTATGTTTCTATTGTTAGCGTTTCTTTTGGCGGTGAGTATATATATTGCACTTATGTGCATAAGCGATGTTACTGGAAATTACATGTTCCTCAAAATGATATTATTTCTGACGTATTTTCAGGTTTATGACAGATTTATGACATTCAGATCAAGCACATGTTTAACACACACAAAAATATCATAATAAATGCCTTGTCTTAAATAAGCGTCATGTCTCTTAGCTCGCGGAAATTGATAATGTACCGCGAGTTCATTATGAATTTCGCTCGATCTCCCATTTAACGGGTACATCTCTCAAGCTAGCTGATACAGCATGCCAATTCCTCCTTCAGGTAAAACTGAATGTGGCTGAAACAGGGTTAATCCAATCTTGCACTATAACAGGTTTCACGTTAGAATTATATGATAAGTCCCCAGGGTGGGTCGTTGCCCAAACAGCTATCAAGAGTGAGTGAGTGAGTGAGTGAGTGAGGTTTTACGCCGCTTTTAGCAATATTCCAGCAATATCACGGCGGGGGACACCAGAAATGGGCTTCACACATTGTACCCATGTCGGGAATCGAACCCGGGTCTTCGGCGTGACGAGCGAACGCTTTAACCACTAGGCTACCCGACCGCCCCTTCCAGGTTAGACAAAGTCTTCATCAATCCATGCTTATTGTAAGAGGCGACTATCGGGATCGGGTGGTCAGGCTCGCTGAATTGGTTGATGCATGTCATTGTCCCCCGCCGCGCAAAAGCGGGGAGCGGGGGACATAGTATTCACGTCCGTCCGTACGTACGTCCGTACGTCCCACCTGTTTGTTGCCGCGATATCTCAAGAACTAAACACTGGATTGTCTTCATATTTGGAACTATGGTGTATATACAGACTCCGCAGACACCAGTCGGTTTTGGTGACCTTAACTTAATTTTCAAGGTAACAGCAGGGGAATCTGTTATTCGAGATGGAAAACAGTGTTGCTGCGATATCTCAAGAACTAATTTCTGGATTCCTTCAAGTTTGATGATATTTGCTTTTGGAGTACGACAAAAAGTTCCATGGAGGTATCTAACACAGAAAATAAAATTATTCAAAAGGAATAAAATATTTGAAAAAAACACATATCGCATAAGGCGGCGGGGGACATTTCGTCATTTTGTGACAAATACTTGTTGTATCCCAAATGAGTTGATCGATGATCATGCTATCAATCAACGGGTTGTCTGGTCCAGATTCGATTATTTACAGACCGCCGTTATATCGATGGGATGTTACTGCGGCGTTAAACAACAAACAAACAATCACATATAATTGTGTTGACTTGTTTTGGTAAGGTGCATCCAGCCGAAATATTGCTGAGTGCGGCGTTAACAAACAGACACATAAAAAGCTCAAGTATAACCATTTGAGCAATGTTAAGAAAAAGCCTTACTGTTATTGTTCTTTTCTGTCACCACGTGGAATATACACCAATGAATTCCTTTCTCCTTTCTGGAGAAGCCAATACACATTCCACGGTACTTTAGAAAAGCAACATGCTTACATATCTTTGACCATCTTCCCGAGGCAAGAGAGCTAACTGCTTTAAAAGTCCAGTTTCAACCCTTGCCGAACTAGGCTGGAATTCCTGGGCTCGATCGTAGCGTCACCTGTGGTTATGACGTGTTATGTCCCTTCTATGCCTCTCCTATGGACCAATCAGATTCCACCCCTCGTATCAGTTGCATTTGTTTCAAACAAAATAGCGGCACCCAGTCAAGACGATCTGATCGATAAACAAGATCTATATTTTGATGAAACATCACTCACATCGCGAAGAGCATCAAATCACGTGAGCACCTTGATTAAAAACATGGAAAATATCTGTTGACAAGGAGTTGGCGGTGCACATGCTTTGCAAATTCTGCAATAACTCCATAACAGCAGCCTAGTTAATAGTCAGTTCACTCTCTTGCTTCGGGAAGATGATCTTTGACATAACAGAAGAGTTATGCCAGCGTTAGTATGCATTAAATTTGACATTCACCACAAGGGAAGGTTCGCAATACTGCAGAAACAGTGACGTCATACATATTAATGACCACTGAGACGTCACACACTGGCATTGTAAAATATATTTTAGACGATAAACTTTACTATATAAAGCAAAACTATTCAAATGAAGTCGCCTGGCAGAAACAGTTAATAAGGTACATCCCTTCTATGCCTACTCGTTCAATAAACAACTAGCTAGCGAACCCAAAACGGTTAGATATTGGTGTTTCTGTAAATTAACATGAATGTAAATTACCCTGCTCAAAATAAATGGATATTTTAGCCAAATGTTTAAAAATATTCATACTTTTTCTAATGTTACTTCAGTGATGTTTTAACAATGTTTTATTATAAAACCGACATCACATGAAATAGATATCACCGCCCACCTTTTTTTTGTCACATTCAAAATACCTAGTACAGTAAACTACGTTCATAACGAACACGCTTATAACAAACTGACAGATATAACGAAATGTGTTTTGAACCCGTCCATTTGCTGTATATATACTTAAAACGAACTACGATTATAACGAACTAAAATTAGTGGCCCCTTTGAGTTCGTTATAACCGTAGTTTACTCTATATGCTATTTTGGATACAAGTCCGATTGATAATCTGTTTACTTCAAACAGAAAAAGTATATACATATTAAAACACGAAGTAGCAATTCTCATGTATTTTAGTTTCAGGTCCGTTTTCAAAACTGGGTGGGTTGGCAGTATCGTAAAGGAAAGGAATGCGTACAGATCGTCCAAACTGGCTATTGGCAACCCGCGCATTGCAATAAGCGCATCTCGTATGTATGTGGGAAAATAGTTGGTAAGCAACACACACACAAGGATTCATAAGGTGCATTTAGCCATGCAAATATATGATGATGCGCAAAATGAAACAAAATAATGCGACAAAACCCTTTCAGGTAGTGTCATGAGCAATTAAGAGGTCAGTAACTGGTGAATAGAATTTTGTTATTTCCGACAGACATCGTCACTCAAGACAAATTGATAACCTCGACAAACCCAAGATTTCTTTTCGAATAAACGCCTACCGAGTGAGTTGTCGTTTTCAGTAAGTATTTATTCAAGCTTTTTTTATTCAAGACCTCAGTAAAGCTTTCAAGATGTTTTGGGGTAGACATGTTGAGGACATTTCTAAATTTGACGCCCCAGTGACAAAATGGATTTCCGATGCAATTCCATATTTTGACTTGTACCATATGTTCCCATGTTTATTTTCACGTGAACAATTGACTTGCCTTTACATGTGTTTGTGACGGGCGCCACCGCATGGGCGGGATACACTAACACCTGGTATCAAAACAGTTTGATAGTGATAAAAAAAACCACATGATCATGATATAGTCGGAATCATACAATCGACTATAATTTTAGCAGATGTTTCTTATGGATATGGAAAGGATGTTGTCGCTTTCCCTCACTTGAACGTCTAAGAAGCTAGACAGTGGCAGAGCCTTAGGATATGCACCGTGTTTGTCCTTCAAGTAGTCTCCTAGCAACAGGATATACTGAACGCAGCCACCGACGTGCACGGCATGAATCAATGGTAAACGTGGTCACCGAAGAGCGTCCTACACAGCCAGTGTCCATTGAACGTTACCATCGTGAAGGAGTGCACACAGCTAGTATGAACCATCTACCACCGAGAAGCAGGGTGTACATTTTTTGAGTATAGCAATCAGGAAGCGGCATATACAGCAAGATTTTATTATTTGTGGCATCTGAGCAGCGGGGTATACAACGGTTGTGTGCAACATATAGCCATCAGGAAGCAGGATGTAAAGCAAGTCTGTGCTACATATAGCCAACGGGAAGCAGGATGTACAACCAGTCTGTGCTACATTTAGCCACCAGGAAGCAGGATGTACAGCAAGTCTGTGTTACATAAAGCCATCGGGAAGCAGGATGTACAGCAAGTCTGTGCTGCATTCACCCAACGGGAAACAGGATATACAGCCAGTCTGTGCTACATATAGCCATCAGGAAGCAGGATGTACAGCAAGTCTGTGCTACATATAGCCATCAGGAAGCAGGATATACAGCAAGTCTGTGCTACATATAGCCATCGGGAAGCAGGATGTACAGCAAGTCTGTGCTACATTTAGCCATCGGGAAGCAGGATATACAGCCAGTCTGTGCTACATATAGCCATCAGGAAGCAGGATATACAGCAAGTCTGTGCTACAAATAGCCATCAGGAAGCAGGATATACAGCAAGTCTGTGCTGCATAAAGTCATCGGGAAGCAGGATGTACAGCAAGTCTGTGCTACATATAGCCATCGGGAAGAAGGATATACAGCCAGTCTGTGCTCCATATAGCCATCAGGAAGCAGGATATACAGCAAGTCTGTGCTACAAATAGCCATCAGGAAGCAGGATATACAGCAAGTCTGTGCTACATATAGCCATCGGGAAGAAGGATATACAGCAAGTCTGTGCTACATATAGCCATCGGGAAGCAGGATATACAGCCAGTCTGTGCTACATATAGCCATCAGGAAGCAGGATATACAGCAAGTCTGTGCTACAAATAGCCATCAGGAAGCAGGATATACAGCAAGTCTGTGCTGCATAAAGTCATCGGGAAGCAGGATATACAGCAAGTCTGTGCTACATATAGCCATCGGGAAACAGGATATACAGCCAGTCTGTGCTACATATAGCCATCAGGAAGCAGGATGTACAGCAAGTCTGTGCTACATATAGCCAACGGGAAGCAGGATATACAGCCAGTCTGTGCTACATATAGCCAACGGGAAGCAGGATATACAGCCAGTTCTGTGCTACATATAGCCATCAGGAAGCAGGATGTACAGCAAGTCTGTGCTACATATAGCCATCGGGAAGCAGGATATACAGCAAGTCTGTGCTACATATTGCCATCGGGAAGCAGGATGTACAGCAAGTCTGTGCTACATTTTGCCATCGGGAAGCAGGATATATAGCCAGTCTGTGCTCCATATAGCCATCAGGAAGCAGGATATACAGCAAGTCTGTGCTACATATAGCCATCAGGAAGCAGGATATACAGCAAGTCTGTGCTGCATAAAGTCATCGGGAAGCAGGATGTACAGCAAGTCTGTGCTACATTTAGCCATCGGGAAGCAGGATGTACAGCAAGTCTGTGCTACATATAGCCATTAGGAAGCAGGATGTACAGCAAGTCTGTGCTACATAAAGTCATCGGGAAGCAGGATGTACAGCAAGTCTGTGCTACATAAAGTCATCGGGAAGCAGGATGTACAGCAAGTCTGTGCTACATATAGCCATTAGGAAACAGGATATACAGCAAGTCTGTGCTACATAAAGTCATCGGGAAGCAGGATGTACAGCAAGTCTGTGCTACATATAGCCATCAGGAAGCAGGATGTACAGCCAGTCTGTGCTACATATAGCCATCGGGAAGCAGGATGTACAGCAAGTCTGTGCTACATATAGCCATCGGGAAGCAGGATGTACAGCAAGTCTGTGCTACATATAGCCATCAGGAAGCAGGATGTACAGCAAGTCTGTGCTACATATAGCCATCAGGAAGCAGGATGTACAGCAAGTCTGTGCTACATATAGCCATCAGGAAGCAGGATGTACAGCAAGTCTGTGCTACATATAGCCATCGGGAAGCAGGATGTACAGCAAGTTTGTGCTGCATATAGCCATCAGGAAGCAGGATATACAGCAAGTCTGTGCTACATATAGCCATCGGGAGGCAGGATATACAGCAAGTCTGTGCTACATTTACCCATCGGGAAGCAGGATATACAGCAAGTCTGTGCTACATATAGCCATCGGGAAACAGGATATACAGCCAGTCTGTGCTACATATAGCCATCAGGAAGCAGGATGTACAGCAAGTCTGTGCTACATATAGCCATCGGGAAACAGGATATACAGCCAGTCTGTGCTACATATAGCCATCAGGAAGCAGGATGTACAGCAAGTCTGTGCTACATATAGCCAACGGGAAGCAGGATATACAGCCAGTCTGTGCTACATATAGCCATCGGGAAGCAGGATATACAGCCAGTCTGTGCTACATATAGCCATCAGGAAGCAGGATGTACAGCAAGTCTGTGCTACATATAGCCATCGGGAAGCAGGATATACAGCAAGTCTGTGCTACATATAGCCATTAGGAAGCAGGATGTACAGCCAGTCTGTGCTACATAAAGTCATCGGGAAGCAGGATGTACAGCCAGTCTGTGCTACATAAAGTCATCGGGAAGCAGGATATACAGCAAGTCTGTGCTACATATAGCCATTAGGAAGCAGGATGTACAGCAAGTCTGTGCTACATATAGCCATCGGGAAACAGGATATACAGCAAGTCTGTGCTACATAAAGTCATCGGGAAGCAGGATGTACAGCAAGTCTGTGCTACATATAGCCATCAGGAAGCAGGATGTACAGCCAGTCTGTGCTACATAAAGTCATCAGGAAGCAGGATGTACAGCATGCCTGTGCTACATACCATCTTGCGTCATGATGAACGGACATGTGACATGTGTTTGGATCAGCTACCCAACGACATCCAGGTGGTCGACAACATTCCACCACTCAGCGAGACCACAGGTTTCTCCTGACTGCAGCGAGACGTCATCACTTGTTGACTACCTCCACACCTGCGGAATGCCACTGGCGTTAACGTTTCTACTCAGACAACGCGTAACCGTCTCCGTGAGGCATGGTGACGGTGGTCATGTATCCGCACGCCACTCACCCGACATCACAGGCAGGCACGTTTGGATTGTGCTGAAGAATGCGCCAATTGCAATGACCGGGACTTGGCTCCATACTGTTCACTGATGAATCGAAATTCTGTCTAGACTTCACTGATCGTCATACCCGAGTGTAGCGAAGAAACATTTCAGGATTCCAACGTAGCCAAACATGATTGCTATGGATTGGGCTCAGTCATCTTTGGGGTGGGCTCAGTAGAGCTGGAAAAACCGTATGCTGGTCCAATCGGTCCAGACGTCACCCTCATTGACGATAACGCAGGACCTCCTCGTGCCAGGGTCGTTGATGCCTACTGAGAGCTGGAGACCATTGTCCAGACGGAGTGACAAGCCCGGTTACCAGACATCACCCCAATCGAACGCATGTTGGATGCAGATCGCCCTCTCATGACGCCCTGTCCTTCCGGAAACTTTACAGGAACTCGACAATACTTTTACTGAAGAGTTGAACAATTTTCCCTTGGCAACGATCTGGAAACTTATTGGGAACATGAGACGACGGTGCCAGGCTGTGATCGCAACACGTGGATGACAAACACGTTACTGACAAATGTTTTTGGACAATACATTCGGGATTTTTTTACGTTTCAGTTTTGGTAAGACTTTCATTTTGACGGATGATTTGACTGATTATTGGCCACAAGTTGACTGTTGGGATTTTGTACATGACAACGGACTTTTGTTCATTAAACATGTCTTTATATTGTCTTTGGCTGTTTCAACAGATGCATACAATTTAACGTGATACCTTTTAAAGCGATGATCTTGAGCAAACCTTTACTAGTATAATATAGTGATTTGTGATTTCATGATCCATTTAAGTTAGCTACTAAGATAACGTTTTGTTTCTGTCTGTTTATTAGGATTGTCGTGCAAGGTTAGTACTTATAACATATGTGCAGTTTTAATTTGCATTTTCCTCTTGATAATGTCATGTCAATAAAGTGAATATGTTAATACACGGTGCTATTTCAGATTGTGAACCTGGATGGTTTGGAGATGAATGTGAGCGCCAGTGTCACTGCTACCTGGGCCATGACTGTAATGACGAACCTTGTCCGTATGGATGTGAGCCGGGGTGGAATGGAGAAATGTGTGACACGCGTGAGTAATAAGTAAATACATACGACCCCATGCAAAGTCGAATCGCAAAGTGTCGCTTCTGGTTTTACAGAGACGATTGCTGGACATTGTTTCATACCAAGGGAACGCATTTCACACTTTTCGGATTGACTAACGTGGTAGTGTACATTCGTCACCAGTCGCCCCTTTCCGTAACCTGCAAGAAGACTCGTCCCCCTATCGATGTCCCGACGTGCTTTAAATTGCATCTGAAATTTATATAATATATGGGGAAATATATGTGAACCATTACGCAACGAGTTGACAATTGTTTTATGTATGCCCGTTTGCGCTAAGACGGAACCCGGTCGCAAAAATGGCGTTGTGTATAAACCTGGGGAAATAAAATGCTTGTCGTTAGAAGAGCCGTTCACTCATGTCAAAGCTTTTGTGAAATTGCCGCAGGTCATATATGTTTACATTTTAAAGGAAACCATGGTAACCAAATAGTGGGTGTGGCCAACCCAAATACCTCAATCGAGTTGAACTGACACTTACACTGTCAGATACATGACTGATTATAAGATTAGTTCACAAAATGAATTGGAAACAGTTTAACATTTTGAAATTGTAGTTTGAATTTTCAAACATATTCAAGTATCTAGTGTTTTTTTCTTTCTTGCACTTAAATTATACTGATACTTGTACTCATTTCCAGACTACCGAAAGCCTAAAGGTAAGAATAACTTTTTATTCGTATCGACCGCCTCCGTGGTCTAGTGGTAGAGCGTCCGCCCGGAGAGCGGAAGGTCCGGGGCTCGATACCCGGCCGCGTCATACCAAAAGACGTTAAAAGATGGTACTTGTTGTTACCCTGTCTGGCGCTCGGCATTAAGGGGCTAAAACAAGGACTGCTCGGCTCGGAGTCAGTATACTGTGTCTGTGTGGGGTATTCATGTTAAACTGCGGCATGGTATCTCAGTGAGCTAGCACTATAAATCGGCATCATTCCGGACTAGTACAAGCAGCCACACAAACACACATACGTACATGCACGTCGCTATATATAAGTGCAATAATCTTTGACGCGACGTTAAACCCCAATTCACCTTACCTTTTATTCGTATCCATCGCATATGTAAACGAATGCTCACACCCTAATTTATTGTGGTTACTCAGAACGCTCCGTCGCTTTCTGCATCTCATGGCCATGTCTATGGAATATTCAGTCACTTAATGGAATCGGCGGGGTGGTTTTATGACATGGTGTACCCTGTATTATTACTTGCCCGTGAAGAGATCACCCGTTTAATAAACATACTGCTGTATTACACATTGTGTAATACCAAAACGCGTGCTTATGTACTCTCGGAACACGTTTCACAAATTTTGAAAGCTCTCAACATCCCTTGGCTTATTCAACGACATTGCGTGTGGAGATGATATATCACTGAGAGGAGCTTATGCACACTCTATGACCCCAGCAACCTTGTTGCTAGGTTGACGTCACAAGGCATTGTTTCGCCTAAAGGATCTTGCAACAAAATTCCACAAATTACGGGTATTGTGACGTGATTGTAAACTTTGAGGTGCAAGGCCCCGTTCCACAAGGCGATTGTACGGTAGCGCGACGACAGTCGTTGGTCTAAGTTAACGTATATGAGTTGCGATAACCTTAACGCTACGATAATTTAGTGGAACGGACGCCTGAATTCTAAAGGTGGACTGTTGTCTGGTATTAAATTCATACGTTTCAACTTTTGACGTGTTTGAAGTATTACTGTGTTAAACTCAATTGGATTATGCCGTGGATCGTGTAGGTGTCAGCCTATTCACACTCAACATTATAATTCTAAAAACGTTATAAATGGCCAGTAATAAATAAAATACTAAACTCGCTCCCGTGTAAAACCAATTTTATGAAACTCGTGAATAGTTGTGGTATCTGACTCGCTTTCGCTCGTCAGATACCACAACTATTCACTCGTTTCATAAAATACGTATTACACGGGAGCTCGTTTAGTATTCTATATTTACGTGATTGCAGTGACATTCTACTGTATGAAAACAAGGGGAGGAGGCTACAGTCTGAGGGTTTTCTTTGACCGGTATGTTGACCTCTACCAGAGAATCGGAGCTGTAAACGCTGAAGGAGACATCAGTCCCAGCTGTAGCAACGATAGATTTAGAAGGACCGGTGTTCGTGATATACATTTAAATGTTCAGATTCCAAGAGTGTCAGGAGCACTGAAACCAGATTGTCCTGCAGAAACAGTAAGTATGTAATGCTTATCATACTTTGTTGGCATATGTGTGTTATTCCATAGCGTGTTTGTTTGTTTTGTTTGTTTGTTGTTTTACGCCGCACTCAGCAATATTCCAGCTTTATGGCGGCGGTCTGAAAATCGAGTCTGGATTAGACAATCCAGTGATTTATATCATGAGCATGAGCATGATACGATGACATGCATTAACCAAGTCAGCGAGTCTGACCACCCGATCCCGTTAGTCGCCTCTTCCGACAAGCATAGCCGCCTATTACAGGTAAGCTTGGTTTGCTCTAGACCTATTCTACCCCGGATCTTCATGGGTCTCCACAGCGTGTGTACTTGCACCAACTTGAGTGAGAGAGTTGGGTTTAACGCCGCTTTTAACAGTATTCCAGTTATATCACGGCGTGTCAGCTTAATGTGGGAGCAAAGCCCGAAGTGATGCAGGTCTCAGACGTTTACCATTTGGGTGAAACCCACGAGCAGAGGTATGGTGCTGACAAACCTAGAAACATAATCGGGGCGAACCGGGATTCGAATTCACAATCATAGGTTTCTGGCGTGTCCAAGGGACGCAACTCCTCACAGCGAATCGCGGCGCCTCAAACGACCGGGCCCCCCGTGCCCCCACACCAACTTGAATACCAATGCCGGGAAATTAGGGACACATCGTCAAGGGTAGATGTAACTATACCTTCACATTCATTGTAGTTATATTTGTTCACACAACACTAGGTTGCTGATGGGATCCTGCGATGGACGTTCAGACTTCAGAAGAAAGAAGGTATAGAATCAGTTGAAGATGAGGAACTTCAAGTCCAGTGTGATCTGTCTGAAGCTGATGCTGCATATGATTCCGAGCGTGTCGTGATGGAAGAGTAAGTTTTATAAACACGATCGAATCAAATTTTATTTTTATTGGCCAGCAAATAGCATCGAAAGCTGTAAAAGAAATACACAGTAAGCATTTTTGTAACTAACCACGGTGACAGAACAAGTTATCGAAGGGAACAGCTTTCTTATTATTTGGGGGGGGGGGGGGGGGGGGGGGGGACATTCTGTTGTATGTGTAGCTGTTGAACGGGGGACATTCTGTTGTATGTAGAGCTGTTGAACGAGGGACATTCTGTTGTATGTGTAGCTGTTGAACGGGGGACATTCTGTTGTATGTAGAGCTGTTGAACGAGGGACATTCTGTTGTATGTGTAGCTGGGGAATGGGGAACATTCTGTTGTATGTGTAGCTGTTGAACGGGGGACATTCTGTTGTATGTAGAGCTGTTGAACGAGGGACATTCTGTTGTATGTGTAGCTGTTGAACGGGGGACATTCTGTTGTATGTAGAGCTGTTGAACGAGGGACATTCTGTTGTATGTGTAGCTGTTGAACGGGGGACATTCTGTTGTATGTAGAGCTGTTGAACGAGGGACATTCTGTTGTATGTGTAGCTGGGGAATGGGGAACATTCTGTTGTATGTGTAGCTGTTGAACGGGGGACATTCTGTTGTATGTAGAGCTGTTGAACGAGGGACATTCTGTTGTATGTGTAGCTGTTGAACGGGGGACATTCTGTTGTATGTAGAGCTGTTGAACGAGGGACATTCTGTTGTATGTGTAGCTGGGGAATGGGGAACATTCTGTTGTATGTGTAGCTGTTGAACGGGGGACATTCTGTTGTATGTAGAGCTGTTGAACGAGGGACATTCTGTTGTATGTGTAGCTGTTGAACGGGGAACATTCTGTTGTATGTATAGCTGTTGAACGAGGGACATTCTGTTGTATGTAGAGCTGTTGAACGAGGGACATTCTGTTGTATGTGTAGCTGGGGAACGGGGGACATTCTGTTGTATGTGTAGCTGGGGAATGGGGAACATTCTGTTGTATGTATAGCTGTTGAACGGGGAATATTCTGTTGTATGTATAGCTGTTGAACGGGGGACATTCTGTTGTATGTGTAGCTGTTGAACGGGGAATATTCTGTTGTATGTGTAGCTGGGGAACGGGAACATTCCCCTGAACGGAGGAGATTCCAATTTGTAATAAATTGTATTCTTAGTTGATGAAGGGGCACGGGTGGCACAGTCGTCTAAGGCGCCGCGATTCGCTGTGCAGAGTTGCGTCCCTTGGGCACGCCAGAAACCTATGATTGTGGGTTCGAATCCCGGGTTGCCCCGATTATGTTTCTAGGTTTGTCAGCACCATACCCGTGCTCGTGGGTTTCGCCGAAGTGGTTAACGTCTAAGACCTGCATCACTTCGGGCTTTCCTCCCACATTAAGCTGACACGCCGTGATATAACTGGAATACTGTTCAAAGCGGCGTTAAACCCGACTCACTCCCTCACTCTTATTATTTGGTCCTGAACATACTTTTTTGTTTGCGAAAGATCCCAGGTTCGCGATTAGCTTGGGTGGTTGGACACACACTCTGTTGAATGATCTGTTGATAAATGCCCATTCAATGATAACAGCGAAGTTGCTTCTTTCTGAAGAAATTCCAAAGACGTTACGTCAAAGACCAATGTAGCAGGTCGTAGATACTACCCGATTGGTTGAACAGTTCACATGGATTAAAACAAATAATTGCATTTTCTAAATGCTGCTTTGTGCAGGAATGTTTAATTAACTGTTATTTGTTTCAGGAATCGTGAGATTCCCTTAACGACTGCCACACAGAGTAGAGTCAATGTACGGACATACCTAGCTCATCCTGGAACTCTGGAACCGGTGACAAACCTCGCCCTTGGTGCTCCTGTCAGACTGGTGGTCACGCTTCCTGAAGGTTAAACGAGATCGAACATGCACTTGTTCCTGGAAATATATAGGAGTCACTGTTTGGATTGTTACCATAATCAGCCTTTCTGGACGTCCGCTTTAGGACGATGTGTTCTCCTGATGTGCTACTGTACATGACGATAACGATGATTTGTATAATGACGTAACACTTAGTCCTCTTGGGTAGATTCCACGAGCTGTCAGCAGCCCTGGAGTCTGACTCGGCAACTGCTGCAAACGTAGTTGTGATCTTCAACCTAGTATGCATGGACAAACTCAAATCTGGAAGAGGTCTTCGAAAGCAAGACTGGTTCAGGGAGCTCTTGGTTAAAACGAAATGATTTATTCAGGAAAAATTCTATTTGTTTCAATTTCCACGGTAAGGTCATGTCTATCTGTTGAAGATACTGACAGATGTCAGGTATGAATCTTGGGACATGTATATTTGTCGTCTGTCTCTATCTGTCATTCTTCAACTGAACATGTCCATCTTTTGGTATCAGGGGATGATCTTGTCCACCCGTTCTTTTATCCCCGGTCCTGTCAAGCTTCATCGCCAGATGGGAAGGTTTCTTTTCAAATGACCAATTCCAATGGGTCAGTACATAATTACTCTCAAATGCTGCACTTGTTATGCCTTCTAATGAAAAGCACTTTCATGAACAAAACGTCATATGTTACCCAGGCAACAGAAAAACTCTTTCATGAACAAAACGTCATATGTTACCCAGGCAACAGAAAAACACTTTCATGAACAAAACGTCATATGTTACCCAGGTAACAGATAGCACTTTCATGAACAAAACGTCATATGTTACCCAGGCAACAGAAAAGCACTTTCATGAACAAAACGTCATATGTTACCCAGGCAACAGAAAAGCACTTTCATGAACAAAATGTCATATGTTACCCAGGCAACAGTAAAAGCACTTTCATGAACAAAACGTCATATGTTACCCAGGCAACAGAAAAGCACTTTCATGAACAAAATGTCATATGTTACCCAGGCAACAGTAAAAGCACTTTCATGAACAAAACGTCATATGTTACCCAGGCAACACAAGCTTCCTTACTACAGACCTAATGAAGCATCCATTTAGTATGTTTTCTATGATTTGAACAAATGCCTGTATGTGTAAAGGTCTCTAATAGCCAATATCCACCTTCATTATAACTTTGGGAGCGGTCGGGTAGCCAAGTGGTTAAAGCGTTCGCTTGTCACGCCGAAGACCTGGGTTCAAATCCCGACATTGGTACAATGTGTGAAGCCCATTTCTGGTGGCCCCCGCCATGATGTTGCTGGAATATTGCTAAAAGCGGCGTAAAACCAGACTCACTCACTCACTTGTGTGATCCTAAGACTTTTGCGCTGTATTATCTTAACAAATTCTGACGAGGACATTCAAGGTCGTGTGGACGTATACACGTGTAAGGTGAGCTACAGTGTTTAATGAAGATGGTATTTCTTGTCCCTCAGTATCTACATCTACTAATCTTGTGCATCTATTTCAGCTGTCCTCGAAATGAATACGAAACCTTTTTGGGAAAAATGGACAAGGCCTCGGGTGTGATCCAGTCGGACATGTTCAAAATGTTTCGGCTGTGGGGATACACCGACGTGGTATTCAGTTGTACTCTGGTAGTACCAAGATTAACTCGTCTAAAATATCAGAAACCGGTTAGTGTTTGTTTTTACTTACACTTCTGAGTGAATGAATGTTGTTATACGTTGTGTGTATGTATGTTTGTATCATTTCATAACGCTAAATGGGAACAGATTCCGACCTCAATCGTTCTTAAATATGTATAATATATTCAATACAGATCCTCCATCCTCTTCCGTCGGGAAGCCTAAAGCGTTCGCTCGTCACGCCGAAGACCCGGGTTCTATTCCCGACATGTGTACAATGTGTGAAACCCATTTCTTGTGTCCCCCGCCGGGATATTGCTGGAATATTGCAAAAAGCGGCGTAAAATCAAATTCACTCACTCACTCCATCCTCTATATTTTCTAAATAATATATGCTCTACAAAAACATAAACGTTACATAAAGTTTCAGTTCTCTCTCATTCAATGAAAAAATATGGTTCCATCAAACACATAATGATAATGTCTACAGCGACTGTCCAGCTCATGTCTCAGCAACAACAGATCGCATTCGCCTCAGAGGCCCTTGAGTAGGGTACGTTACGTCGGCTGTACACCCTTGCTCTTCCATCTGCCTTCATATCCGATAGGGGGCACGGGTGGCCCAGTAATCTAAGGCGCCGCGATTCGCTGTGCAGAGTTGCGTCCCTTGGACACGCCAGAAATCTATGATTGTGGGTTCGAATCCCGGTTCGCCCCGATTATGTTTCTAGGTTTGTCAGCGCCATACCCGTGCTCGTGGGTTTCACCGAAATGGTAAACGTCTGATACCTGCATCACTACGGGCTTTCCTTCCACATTAAGCTGACACGCCGTGATATAACTGGAATACTGTTAAAAGCGGCGTTAAACCCAACTCACCCACTCACTCACTCACTCACTCATAGCAGATAACGTGACTCTTCACCTTACAGGATTCTCTTCCACCACATCCATTGCCAAACATGGTATCGATAACTGTAGACGTTCAGTGTGGTGAAGTTTTCAGGATGTAACATTTGCGAGATCCCACATTTCCTCTTGTCAGTAATGTGATGGGCAGTACTGCTAGTTGTGAAGCGATCACTAAGGTGTGGGCGTATAATGTAGCGGTCCTGTGTAACGTTTCTGACCCAAGCCTGTCAAAGGCACTTACGGTTGTATCGCACTCATGACCTGTTGATTGACAATCACTTGACATATTCATGGCTCTTGCTATTACCGGCTGGGCCAGCTCTGCCTCTGGACGTCTGATGACACTGTGATGCTGGTCTTGTGTCGGCCTTGGCAGTTTTTACCTGTCAGGGTCAGGACATGAGCCTACGTCAGGATGGAAATACTGTCAATATGATAGCCCCGGCAGTGGATGTACATGGGAAATAGCACCACACGTTGCACGTAAATGCGGAAATCATTAAAGGTTCCTTGTCATTGCGTTGTGGCGGTTTCCGCTGGTTTCTGACCATTGAACCTTTTATTGTTGATTCAGCCCATGTGTATATATACCATGGCAATAATTTACAGTTAGCTAATTTGTAGCCTAATGACTCTTTTTTAAGAGTATAGTCACACAACATCCTCCTGTATTACCATGTTCGAGTACAACGACTGATGCGAGTACAACGACTGATGTTCGGAAAATATGTGGGGGGTGGAGGATGAGACTGGAAGGGGGGGGGGGGGGGGGGGGGGGGGGTTTAAATAATATCAGGATGTCATACAGTAAACCATATCCTGTCATTCATTATGTCATTTAATGCTTTCATGTATTCTTTCTTCAACAGAGTTGTTCCTAGTAATGAAGGACAACGCGGATGAAAGGTCAACTGCAAAGGTCAGTGTAGAGTGAGAACACAAATGTCAATCATTGCAAACTAGAGGTAGTCAATAAACCAATCTTCATGTCCCAGTGCGGTTGTTACCGCGAGTATGGACGGGTTTCTGGCAGTCAGTGATATGCGGACTATATGCTCATAAATAACTTCAAAAAATACACGAGGAGTGTGTAAAAGCAGGGGAGCCTCCAAAATGGGTTTCATTAAATTAAAGCAAAGGGCAGTCATGAAGTTTTTTAAGTTTGAAAGGTGTACTGCGAATATAGGCCAATTACTCCTCTCGGAACGCGACTGTAACTCGGTAAACTGGACAGGTAGAGAGTCCCTCAAAGATCAACCATGGTCAGGAAGACCCTCCAAGTTAACAAATCCTGAAATGATAGCTGCCGTGGAAACGAGCATAACGAATGATCGACGGATATAGGTTGTGGAATGCAAGATTTCAGTGGGTAGCATTGAAAACACCATTCATCACATCTTGGTATGTATAAAAAGGCGATAGGATGGGTACCAAGAAAACTGCAAGATCTCCACCAGAGATGGAACGCAGCCAAGAAATCCTAGAACTCTGATAAAAGAAGATTTATATCAAGTTTTGTGACGTGATAAAACGTGGGTTTATCAGTGGGATACAGAGGCCAAAATTGAATCAATGCAATCTCCGGCACCCAAGAAGTATCTGACTTAACTCTCACCTCTGAAGTTCACAAGTCGTACAGGCTGCTGTAAGGCTGTCACCAGTTAAATAATTCCCTCACAGCTACAAGACCTAGCTACAAGTGACTATTTAGTCTTTCGACAAAATTTTGAAGACGTTGATACCTTGAAGTCTGCTGTTTAGGACTAATCTGGGGATAATCAGAAAGTCCAAAAATAAAGAAATATTGACAAAAAGAACTCAATTCAACTTTTTTGAAGGCCCCACGTAATACATACCAAAACTAATCTTCAATATAAACTAGATGCAGATATGTCAACCTATCTTCAATATGAACTGTAAGAAATACATACTTCACCGATCCGGTGGAAATACGTAAACCGATCATTGTAATAAGCAAGGGTTAGTAAATACTTAAACCAATCTTCATGTTGAACCAGTGGTAATAAATACTTCAACAAATCTTCATGAGAAACTAGAGGTAATAATTGCTACAACCAATCTTCATGAGAAACTAGAGGTAATAAATACTTCAAAAATCTTCATGAGAAACTAGGGGTAATAAATGCTTCAATCTATCTCCATGATAAAGTAGAGGTAATAAATGCTTCAATCTATCGCCATGATAAACTTGAGGTAATAAATGCTTCAATCTATCTCCATGAGAAACTGGAGGTGATAAATGCTTCAATATATCTCCATGATAAACTAGTGGTAATAAATACTTAAACCAAACTTCATTATTCACAAGAAGTAATAAATACTAAAACCAGTCTTCAAGGTAAACTAAAAATAATAAATGCTTTAACCTTTCTTCATGATAAACTAGAGGTAATGAATCCTTAAACCTCTCTTCATGATAGAGAAGTAAATAATACGTTGTTATATGGCAGTGTAATTAATGGTTGGACAATGTAACCGTGTTACATTGTTTTCTAACGCTCATTGCATTGTATTTGGGCAGTGATTATTCGTCAGGAATGTAGTGCCATTTAATGTAAGCAGTCGTCAGGAAGTTACTATATTTAGATACAAGTGTGATGTGTAAACGTCCGGTTACCGCGAACGGTGATAGTATGTTATAGAAACACGTGGAATGTTCCAGTGCAGCTAGACTGGTGAGGGCACATTGGAGATATTTCCAGTAGCTAGTTGGACTATATACATTTATATTGTTGGACAAGAGCGTGTTTAGATGTCTTTCACACTTTTCATCACATCAAGATGTGTGGATTATCCATCTCCCGTTATTCCCTGCCTAGGACAATCTCGGAAGCTTGACCACTGTCGCCGCTTGGTTAATATACTGTCATAACTGACTTTTACTGTCACCACTGTATTTTTCTATTTGGTGCTGTCCACTGTAATCGTATTATATACCGCCATTGAATATTGGACAACAATTCTATTTTTTACTACCATTGTAATTGCTGTCCATAAATTTGAATTGATTTGTAAACTTAGTGTATTTTATAATACATTTGTTAACTGTTTACCATTTGTTGGTTGTTGGTTGGTTTCCTCAGAGACCATATCTATTATATGGTCTCGGGGGGGGGGGGGGGGGCACGGGTGGCCCAGTCGTCTAAGGCGCCGCGATTCGCTGTGCAGAGTTGCGTCCCCTGGACACACCAGAAACCTATGATTGCGGGTTCGGGTTCGAATCCCGGTTCACCCCGATTATGTTTCTAGGTTTGTCAGCACCATACCCGTGCTCGTGGGTTTCACCGAAGTGGTAAACGTCTGAGACCTGCATCACTTCGGGCTTTGCTCCCACATGAAGCTGACATGCCGTGATATAACTGGAATACTGTTAAAAGCGGCGTTAAACCCAACCTACTCACTCACTATGGTCTCTGGTTTCACAGTCAGTTATTTTACGTGCAGATTTCTGGGTTAACATATTGTTTCAATTTGCTGATCGACACGTAACAACGTAAATCAAACTTCACTATCCATAAGATGTAAAAGGTGAGGTGAGGTGCAATGGGTTTAACGTCGCGTTCGAGATTAGTAGACTTACATATCGTGCGTGCGTGCGTGGCTGCTTGTACTAGTCCGGACTCATGCTGATTATAGTGCTAGCCCACAGTTTAGTGAGTGAGTGAGTGATGATGGTTTTACGCCGTTTTTAGCAATATTCCATCAATATCCCGGCGGGGAACACCAGAAATGGGCTTCACACACTGTGCCGATGTGGGTAACCGAAGCCGGGATTTCAGCGTGACGAGCGGACGCATAAACCACTAGGCTACCCCACCGCCCCTGTTTAACATGTATACCCGACTCAGACACAGTATACTGACTTAGAGGCAACCAGTGCTTGTTTGAGCCCCTTAATGCCGATCGCCAGGCAAGGTAACAACAAGTTCCATCTTTTAACGTCTTTGGTATTACGCGATTTCGATCTCACGACCTTCCGTTCTCCGGGCAGACGCTACCCACTTAACCACGGAGGCGGTCACTCTAGAGGTATTAAATATGTAAACCAGTCTTAACGATAAACTTGAGGTTGTAAATACTTACATAAAAAACGTCAACGCCAGGGAAAAACCAGTCTCGATTATCCACAGATTTAATTCGGCGTAAACGCAAAATAGCGGGGAAAAGCAATCTACCTTGTAAGAAAAAAGTGAGAGATACTTAAACCTATCTTCATAATCAACCAAAGGTAATAATACGTAAACCAATCTTCATTATAAACTAGAGAAAATTAATACAAAAACAAATCTTCATGATAAACTAGAGGTAAAAAATACTTCAATCTATCTTAATGATAAACGGGAGGTTATAAATACGAAACCAAACATTTTAACATATTTTGAAATAGAGGTATTTTCTTATGTTCATTCGTTCATTTCTGTCTCATGTGCATTTATTCCAGATCATACCACCGACTCATGGACTGCAGCCAATCAACAAACCATATGTTAACACTCGGTTGATACACCAGCCAATCAAGAACCTGGATGAAGTTCAATCCTCACATGTTTATAACAAAATCTTTTCACTTGAAATAAACAAAAGCAAACAAAACATAAAACGGTTCTTGTTTTCACTGCTTTCACAGCCGCATGTCCTTGTTCAATGGCAAAGCAATATGACAATCTTACTATTTTAATGTGGGCGAACTTTGGAGTCGAATTCACAACAAGGGCAATAATTCTGTACAGATCTCGGTAACTTCCACCTGTAGGAATGAGAAGTGTTCACGATATATACCACTATACAATTCCCACTCAGTTGTGTCTTCCACCGCCCGCCTATTTCTGAATTGTACAGCAGCAGCAGTGGTAGTAGTGGACGCATTAGCAGTTGAGGTAGTGGCAGTGGTGACAATAGCAGCTACTAGTAGTAGTAGTAGTAGTAGTAGTAGTAGTGGTTGTGGTAATAGTAGAAGTAGTAGTTACCCGTGACGTTCCGGGTTAGAATAGGTCTTCAGCAACCCATGCTTACCGTAAATGGCGACTATGCTTGTCGTAAAAGGCGACTAACGGGGTCAGGCTCGCTGACTTGGTTGATGCATGTCATCGTATCCCAATTGCATGGGATACTCGGATGGATATGCATGAGACGCCATGTTTCAGCATGACATTCCCAAACTTATTGCACCGTATTTCATAATAGCAATGTAAAAGATCATCAATCAATGTTTATGCCCAACTGAAAGACGTTCTGTCGACTAAACATCAGCGTGTTCCTCTCTTGTCGTGACCGCCTCCGTGGTCTAGTGGTAGAGCGTCCGCCCGGAGAGCGGAAGGTCCAGGGTTCGATCCCTGGTCGCGTCATACCAAAAGACGTTATACTTGTTGTTACCCTGTCTGGCGCTCGGTATAAGGGGCTAAAACAAGGACTGGGCGGCTCGGAGACAGTATACTGTGTCTTTTGGGTATTTATGTTAAACTGCAGCATGGTATCTCAGTGAGCTAGCACTATAAATCGGCATCAGTCCAGACTAGTACAAGCAGCTACACACACATACGTGCATACACATGCACGTCGTTATATAAGTGCAATATCTGGACGCGACGTTAAACCCCATTTCACCCCACCTCACCTCTCTTGTCGGGCACATGTCCACAGCCATGGAGAAAGGGAGAAAAGCTGGTTAACAATATGTCCTAATCAGCATTTCGACTTAGATCCGTGTCTTCTCTCCACACTGTGTGTATGTACAAAGCATTGGTGACACATTCACTTCGTGATCTTGTGAAACTGAAATATGATGAACTTAACTAATGATGTTTAATGTGTTCAAGTCCGCTATAATAGCACTGATATTAACCCTGAAGCTATGGAAGCCATTATCTACGTCCGGTTGGCTATGACCAGCAAACCACAGCCGGTAATTCAGCACTCTGTTCGTAGGTTTCGGGAGACATGGAGGGTGTTCTCCTGTTCGCTTTACTTCCCCTTCTAACCAACGCCTTTAACGCTGGGAGATACCAAGGTATGTGTGCCTGAAAGCTTGAACTCCAGTTATTCATACATGTACATAATTATTCATTTATTTTGGGGAAGCCCTGCGTTTCTTCAATTGGAATGATTGCAGATATTTAATGACGTGATGCGATTAATGAAATACGTTAATTACTCTTCTAATTATTCAAAAACAATTCAATCACCAAATAATATTCGACGTAAAATGCTATTTAATTTGAAACTGTTCATTGATATACAACACAATTGCCTGACAACTGTTGAATAGTTGGGCAACACAAGACATGTTTACCTGTACTGCATCCTTACAGTGCTGGACAGAAGGTCATGTTACTTTTAGGGGTGACTGGGTCTGGAAATCACTATTGCGATAACTATTGAAATTGCAAGAAACTATTGCGATAACTATTGAAATTGAAAGAAACTATTGCGATAACTATTGATATTGCAAGCCACTATTGCGATAAATTCGATAGTTTTCAGTGTATCATTTTAGATGGATTTTAGAGTTGAATTAAACCTTCGAACTGAAGTTTCCTTTGAATGTGATAACCATAACAACAAATAAAAAGTAAAGTTTGAGATGTGACTGATTTGTTTTTTCTTTACCCTAACAATTTGAGAAAAAGAAACTTCAACATTACCATGTGTAAATTACTACCACTCATGATCAAAAGAAAAACAAATTTGAACAGCATTGCATGTATTTTATTGATATGGTAACTACAATCGAAACTATCGATATTCCTCACTAAAATCGACACTTTTGATCGGAAACTGATTTAACAATCGATTTATTGACTTTAAGTGCTTACCAATAGCAATATGTCGATATTTCGATTTATCGTGACACTCCCTTTTATCAGTATGCCGAGAAGGTTGGACAACGGTGAATAATGAGTGCTACAGATTTGTGGAAGAAGAAGTTAACAGACAAACCGCATCTGACCGATGTAGAGACCGCTATGGTGCTACCCTGGCAGTGATTATGAACAAGGAACAGAATAAAGCCGTCCAAGGTATGTTGAAGCGTGTATTCAATCAGACACGATACGTGAAGCTGTCACGATAATCGCCAAACACACACTGATACTATTTGTGATGATAACGACACATCAGGCAAGGTAACAATTAGAGATAACATTTCCTCATATAACGTGCCTCTACAGTGAACCACCCGTGAAACTCCGGGTTAGAATAGGTCTTCAGCAACCCATTCTTGTAAGAGGCGATTATACTTGTTGTAAAAGGCGACTTTCCTTGTCGTGAGAGGCGACTAAGGAGATCAGGAGATCAGGCTCGCTGACTTGGTTGATGCATGTCATCGTATCCCAACTGCGTGGATTGATGCTCATGATATCAATCACTGGATTGTGTGGTCCAGATTCGATTATTTACAGACCGCCGCCACATAGCCCGAATATTAATGAGTGCAGCGTTAAACAACAAACAAACTTATATAACATTGACAACACATAATGCTTATTCTACGATATACAAAAGTCGTGGTTCATAGCCAATTCCACTGGTATACTCACTGGACGAAGAACTAGAAATAAGAGACCGCTTATCTCCATTCGACCCTGCCATAGAAACACCAACTCTTGCATGTCAGTGAAGTAAGAAGTTCAATGTTTTTGAGTAGGTTGTTGGTTGAAGACTGAAGGTTGACGTCAAATGTCATGGAATACAGTCAGACATTGCTTTTGATATCAATATACCTTATTTGCATATAGCTAAAGCACTAAAATATTACCTGATACCTCGTAATCCAAAATATGACGATGACCCCAAATGAATATGAAGGAAGCCTTGCAAGGTTCATTTCTAAATTTCTATTTCGCTTTGGGATATCCCAGTAACCACAACTTGTAACCTACAAACGTACATGTCATTATTGTAAGAAGCCAAGCGACACTGTTCAGTCAGAGGTGGTTATTGTGATTTGAAACCTTTGATGTGATTTGATACCCGTGGTTGAATCGAGTACTTTTATGGCATACTTAAGTCATGTGTAAGATTAAGACTTCAGTGTATCCACAATGCCTTCGGTATTTCTCATCAACCTACTCTCAAGTTGTACACACATGTTCCTCATCAACCAACTCTCATATTGTACACACTTGTTCCTCATCAACCAACTCTCAAGTTGTACACACTTCTTCCTCATCAACCAACTCTCAAGTTGTACACACTTGTTCCTCATCAACCTACTCTCAGGTTGTACACACATGTTCCTCATCATCCTACTCTCAGGTTGTACACACATGTTCCTCATCAACCTACTCTCAAGTTGTACACACAAGTTCCTCGTCAACCAACTCTCAGGTTGTACACACTTCTTCCTCATCAACCCACTCTCAGGTTGTACACACTTGTTCCTCATCAACCAATTCTCAAGTTGTACACACATGTTCCTCATCAACCAACTCTCACAAGTTATACACACGTGTTCCTCATCAACCTACTCTCAAGTTATACACACATGTTCCTCAACAACCAACTCTCAAGTTGTACACACTTGTTCCTCATCAACCAACTCTCAAGTTGTACACACATGTTCCTCATCAACCTACTCTCAAGTTATACACACGTGTTCCTCAACAACCAACGCTCAAGTTGTACACACACGTTCCTCATCAACCAACTCTCAAGTTGTACAATCAAATCAATCATAAATAAAATGTCTAGTTATATATGCATGTCCCCCACGAACGTATTCACATGTTATACAATCGTGTCCACCATGAACATACTCTGAAGTACAAATATCTGTCTTATGAACGAAGTCTCAAATTGTAAATACATGTCCCTCGTGAAATACTTTTCATTTTGATTCTTTCCAGATCTTATCGATGGTCACAGGAACGCGTGGATCGGTTTACATCAGGAAGATGAATACTTTCGTTGGGACGACGAACACAGAGTAAGAAACATCAGCATGAACGTAATACAAGCGAAGTGCTGGTTAGATATTGTTTCTGTCTTCCAGCTCCACTGTTAAATTGCAACATCACCAACAAATATATGAACCATATGCACAGGATTACAGAAATTACCTTATTTCCCCTAATGAGCCCTGTCGGTTACATGTCCCGAACAAACAATTGTGGCTGAAAATTATCTTACATAGGATACTAGTAAGGAAGGATAAATAGAGGCATCGTTATGTCAACTCACGGTTTCTGAAGTTACTTGGGGCGGGGAGATAGTCTGGTGCTCTCCGCGCCGAGACCCGGTACTGATTCCCACATGGTTACAGGTGTTTCTCCTGCAGCGGTATTGCTGTAATATTGCAAAAAACGGCGTAAAACGATACTCACTCACTTAAAGTTACTGGAATCAGGTGATAGAGAGATCATTGCCTTCCGGTGATTCAAAGGCTCGCTGCTGTTAATCATACACAATAGGCTAATAAGACCGTTGTCTTGCTCGACAATGGTGTAAGGATCTATACCGAAACGTCGCCTTACTTAGTCATCCGTCAACTTCTAAGTAATGTCTATCAAATATTTCAGGTTAATGGTCTATGTACATCAAAGACAAACATCTAAAGCTCATGGGGGCGGTCGGGTAGCCTAGTGGTTAAAGCGTTCGCTCGTCACGCCGAAGACCCGGGTTCCAACCCCGACATGGGTACAATGTGTGAAGCCCATTTATGGTGTCCCCCGCCGTGATATTGCTGGAATATTGCTAAAAGCGGCGTAAAACCAAACTCACTCACTCACTCACTCACTCACTCTAAAGCTCATTATCTTAAGGTTCCTCTCGTCTCAGTGGCCCTAACATAGATGGCCAGAGAATGTCAACTGTAGAGAGTGGGTTCCCAGCAAAAGATGGTATGTACACAATGATGATGAACAGTCAAGATCTTAAACATGACAAGTAAATCAAGATCCCGACTATTTGCGACCTATCTCTTGTTTCTTATGATCAGACTTGCTACATGGAATGTGCGTGGCGTTATGCATGCTGCTAATGAACTTGCTGATAAACTTGAAAGTTGTGATATAATGTTCATTTCTGAACACTGGCTAAACAGACAAAACGAATCCTACTTAAATGGGATCCATGATGAATTTGATGTGTATTCCAAATGTGACAAATCAGAACTACCAAGACCTAGAGGCTCAGGAGGCGTAGCAATATTTGTTCGTAAATGGGACTGTTGTGTCTCGTCTGTGATAAACACTCCAGATGATGATCGAACGATCAGTATCAAATTGACTATGAACAATGTTCCTGTTTTTATTATAGGAACATATCTTCCATCTAGTAATGTGCTGGACAGTGTTTATTGTGAAGCGCTTGACTATGTCATACAATTATATGATGTGTATTCACAACATGGACAGACTATCATACTTGGTGACTTTAACACAGACCTGCGCACTCCTGATAAACTGCGTTCCAAGTACTTAAGCAGAGTATTGAATGAGAGATCTCTGTACTCTGTGATCCCCATCGATGACGTCACTAGATATACATATTTCACCAAAAGTGGAAATATTAAGACTATGCTAGATTACATTTTTGTAAATGTTGATTTTACACCTAATGTTGTCGGATTTGTCATTGATACAAATGTATCTTACTCTGTATCAGATCATTTGCCTATTCTTGTCTGCCTAACTATAACAACACCGATTAGCCAATATGGAGGTGATAAACTTAACTGGCGCAAAGCAACTGAGACGGACCTAATGCTTTATCGTTATGAAACTGAAAACTGGCTTCGTGATACTGTTTTTGCAATTTCAGACTACCAGACACCAGTAGACTTTATTCAATATTACAATGAATACATCACCTCAGCCCTTCAAAATGCAGCAATAATGTACATTCCTTCATCAAAATTCCAACCTAGGCTGAAACCGTACTGGAAAAAGGATAATCTTAAATCATTACACAATAGTATGCGCAAATGCCGTAAAGAATGGAAGGAAAATGGTAAAACTCGCGATAAAAGCAACATCTTTTTTGCTAGATACAAAGAAGCCAAACGGTTATTTAGAAAACAGCATCGGATCTCAAAACAAAAGCTGATAGATGATAGATACAAAGAAGCTTATGAAGCTGCTGAGGTTGATGTTCATGAATACTTCAGGGTAGCTAAACGTTATCGTAAAAACAAAGGTCATACTCAAAAACTTGTCTATTCAGATAAATCATCTAATGACCCGAAGGATATATGTGATATGTTTGGTGAATATTACAGAAATCTAGCTGCCCCGGATACTGATCTGAAACATGATGTTCTATTTTCCTCTTACGTCAAGCAACGTGTTAATGACCTTGAAAATGAGGTATTAGATAGCACTGATTTTTATGACAATAATGTTGTGGCTATAGCATCTCCCCTTTCAAAACCCTTCACTGCTGAAGAATTGATGGATACTGTCAAATCTCTTAAAACAGGTAAATCACCAGGGCATGACGGAATCTCAAACGAGCATATTAAAAAAGCAGGTAGATCTATTCATCACCATCTCATGGTTTTATTCAATGCAATTGTGCACTATGAATATGTACCATGTGAGTACAACATAGGTCAAATCCTCCCAATCCATAAAGGTCATGGTAAAAGCAAGTCGGATCCTGCTAATTACAGGGGAATAACTATGACATCTGCCTTTGGTAAACTTTTGGAAAGGCTCATACTCAACAGAATCGAATCCTGGGTAACTAAAAACTGTAATTTCCCACATCTTCTCCAATTTGGCTTTCGCAAGAATGCAGGTGCAGACACTGCGGCCCTCACACTATTAGAAGCAATAGCATATTACAATGAAAGAAGTTCTCCAGTCTACTGTGCATTTCTAGATAATGAAAAAGCCTTCGACAGGGTATGGCTAGATGGCCTTTTTCTAAAACTTTATGACCTTGGTATCACGGGTAAAACATGGCGAATACTACGTAGGTCTTATATGTCTATGTACTCCTATGTCAGCTTTGCAGGCTTTAGATCAGACTTGTTTCATGTACGCCAAGGAGTTGGTCAAGGCAGAGTTATATCTGCTTGGCTCTTTACATTATATATAAATGATCTGTTATGCGAGCTGGAACGCTCTAAGCAAGGACTAAATCTGCCGTGGGCACATACTCCAGGCCAGCTCTTGGCAGATGATACAACACTGTTTAGTAGCTCACCAACAGGCCTTCAAGATCTTCTCAATGTTGTAAATCAGTATGCATATAAATGGCAGCTTAAGTACAATGTCACGAAAAGCGCTGTTCTAATATTTGATGTGCAGCGTAAATTTATCTGCTCTCAATCACTGTACTTGGGCAGTATGTGTGTTCCACTTCAGCAATCTATAATATATGCAGGTGTCAGGATTAGCTCTGATAAGTCTTCCTTAGAACGAACACAATTAGCTTGTGAAAAGTTAAAAATGTTAATAAATAGTAATAACGATACTGGACTAAAGTTTGGAGGCATGAATCCAATCCCAGCAAAAAGGATCTGGGAACGAGTGATACTCCCATGCGGACTCTATGGATGTAATGTCTGGGGGCTATTAACCCTCAAAGAATACGATATGCTGGAAGTTATTCAACGTTATTTCAGTAGAAAAATACAGGGCCTTCCAAAATGTACATCAGGTACTGTTGCTGTGGACAACATGGGCTTGATATCTCTCCAATCCTATATTGACAAACAGTCACTGTTACTACTTGGAAAATTATGCCGATCCAGTTACAGCTATGTCTTTAAAAAGGTATTCATTACTCGCATTGGGCAGTTTAGATACGAAATAGCGTTGGATAACTTCAAAAAACGATGTGCTTTGTCACCTGTATATAACATGCTCAGACTTGTCAAAAAATACAATCTTAATGCAGAAATAGAAGATTATCTAATTAAATGTAGCTTCCCAAGTAAAAAGGCATGGTCTGATATTGTTAAGGAAAGGATTATTTCTGCAGACCAGGAAGCTGTATGCTCTAAGCTGCTATCTAGACTTAACTTAAATAGATATGTTTCGCTACGTAATGATAAAGAACACAGACTCTGGCTACTTGCACTTGAACGTCCTGAACAGTTCCCAAACCTGTCTCATCTTGTACGGCTGGGATGCATAAATATAGAATCCAGGGAATGTCGATGTGGAATTGTAGCTCATGATATTATTAAGCATGTCTTTTTGTATTGTACATTGAATATGAATGACAGAAATGAACTATTTGAAATCATTTGTGATGTGATAGATGTCTCTACATTTGCAAGACTATGTAGTGAGGACGATGATATAATCCTGTCTGTACTATTTGGCGGTATGCCTGAGTGTGTTAGCTCTTTATCTCAAAGTCTATGGGGTGACCTTATGGTTATTGTATCAAGATATTGTAGGAAATGGCTGTATCTGTTACAAAACAGTTATAAGAATGCTTGATTGTCATGCATTTTGTAGTTATCATTTCTAATAATATTGTTCAACTGTACTACTGTACAGCTCTGTAATTATACATAATACCGTATATGATATGTATCTTCAATATCTGGAGGAAATAAAGAATATCTATCTATCTATTAATCAACAATTTCTCATTTATTCTGTCCAACATATTTCTACAGATATTAAAAACCAAACCAGTTCTCATTTATTTTAGAATTCCGGATATACCAACTGGAAGCCTCTACCCTACAACCATTATGGTAAACGATGCACAAGGATACTTGATGCTGGGTTTTGGCAAGTTGACAGGTGCCGAGAAGAAAGCCCTTATGTATGTTCGAAAATAGCTGGTAAGACCTTGTTATGATCCAGGCGGTTATTTATACACGTATACATGTATAACGGTGCAGATTACAACATCCTGCAGTTACGTTAAGATCGATGAATTATTGAGATCATATTTACTTTCCCATAAGGTATTATATATTTGAAATCGGACCGAAATCACTTGACGCTTCATTTACAGAAATATATTCAATGGACTTGAGTTCTCTCTCACGTCCAATAATCAGTTCTTATGTACATGTATTTGTTCTGAATAGAAGCTTATTATGAAGAGATGTGTCTTATAAAGCATAAATACTGGAGGTCTCGCTCTGAAATGTTCTAGTGCCTCTAGTTCAGAAAAATATAGAAACCTTTACTTCGAAAGATATATGCATGTACAGTAAACTACGGTTATAACGGACACGCTTATAATGAACTGACGGATATAACGAACTTACTTTTTGTTTTGGTCCCGACTACTTGCTGTCGTCAACTTGTATATGTACTTATAACGAACTACGGTTATAACGAACTGAAATTAGTAGTCTCTTTGAGTTCGTTATAACCGTAGTTTACTGTATGCAGGCATACATGCGTATATCAGAGTTAGAGCCTCTTCAGGCCATGGAAGTACAGTCTGCAATAGTTAATCCCGATTGTAACGTCACAAATATCAAATGAAGTCACAAAAGTACCAAGGGAGGTAATTTGAACGTTGACGCATTTCACTTTTGAATTTATGGTAGGCGAATACAATTTAATCGATCTTTCTTCTTTTGAGTCTAAGAATTTTCGGCTTGAATATAGAAAACATTTATGCGCCATCATCATAATGAATTAACAATTCTATAAGGACAATATACTACCCATGTTTGAAGATAAATAGTGCCTCCCGTGTTGTGAAAATGACGAAATCCTTATAATGAAGGTGCGATTGAAAGGGTGTTATCATGAAATCAGTGAACTGCCTATTTTTACTAAACCACGTACTGTTTTGGTCTCCCAAAGATTCATAAACACAAAACTATTCAAGCGGAAATTATATCAAAGTGGTTTTTTTTATTGACAATCTCCATTATATAAAGATTCGGCCCTCAGTTTGGAACCATCGAATCACACCCAGCGATTAAGTAATTTTATAGATCTAATGCCCAAGCCTGTTTGCAGACATGTTTCATGGATTTGAAAAAAAAGACAAATGTTACCAAAACGATATTAGGCTAAATACAGTCGTCAAAACACAGCTATGAGACCCGTATCAAATACGTCTTATCGAATAACCATCTGTTTCGGCAGATGGTCGTGACTAGTTGTTCTACTGCATTGACGTTATATTTTATAATTGTTTGTTTTACCATCAAAAGTATTTTATTAATGTTAATATTGAAACCCCATCATGTTTTAATTTCATGATTAAACTGAATCTACGCTCTGCTGTTTCAGATTGCGAACTTGGATGGACTGGTTATTATTGTGATCGGGAATGTCACTGTTATCCGGGCTATGCGTGCAATGGAAGCGAAGCTTGTCCATATGGCTGCGAGCCGGGGTATACTGGAAAGATGTGTGACGATTGTGAGTCAGAAGTAAATTATCAGTTGTTTGCCCATGTGTCCCTAGTACTCACCTGAGAAGAATCCTTGTTTAAGCCCTTTATAGCCGAGCGCCAGGCAGGGTAACAACAAACACCATATTTTAACGTCTTTTCGTATGACGCGGTCGGGGATCGAACCCAAGACCTTCCGCTCTCCGGGCTGATGCTTTATCAGCTAGATCACGGGGCGGTCACACAAAAACAAACATTATGTCTATGTGTCATATATCGGGCGTGGTTGACACAAAGTGCATCAAAACAAATCTTACTCGATACTTTGATGTCCTGTCCTCGAATAATCAATGTGTGTGTGTGTGTGTGTAGATGTGTGTGTGCGTGCGTGTGCGCGTGCGTGCGTGCGTGTGTGTGTGTGCTGCTTTTGGCACATTCAGCCCCTGGGCTTGTATTAACTATTGCTTAATCTGAACTGATGTCAATATCTAATAATTTATCACCAAATCTGGTGATACGACCCCAATCAAATACCAGTCAACGTGATGAACTTCCTGTCGGACAGTTACGACTAAGTGCTGTTCATTGATCGCATGCTAAAGAAACGCAATTCACACATTCATGTTTAGTGCCCGGATGATTTACGTGGCTGTGTATCTACCGCAGGAAAATGAAACTAAGTGTTCGAGGATGCCGAGTCATACACATAAATCTTCAGGTTTTTGTGAAAGTACTTCTGTATGTTTCGTGACGACCCTCGGTACGTATGTGACCAACCTATGTGCCTTGATCGTCGTTGAACTTCCAGATACATACATGTCTGTTTCCAAGAAATTGTACTTGAACTCCTAGAATATAATACTATGTATTGACTTTTGCATTTGTTTTCCAGATCTAGACAAAACTACAGGTGAGAATAAGACTTCAACTTTCAGTCTCATCAATTTCGTCCTGCAGCATTTATAGTCCGTTACGGGGGGGGGGGGGTAGTTTTGTAAGGCGCCGCGATTCGCTCTGCAGAGTTGAGTCAGAAACCTATGATTGTGGGTTCGAATACCGGTTCGGTTTCTAGGTTTGTCAGCACCATACCCGTGCTCGTGGGTTTCACCGAAGTACTAAACGTCTGAGGGCTTTCCTCCCACATTAAGCTGACACGCCGTGATATAACTGGAATACTGTTAAAAGCGGCGTTAAACCCAACTCACTCACTCACTATAGCCTGTTAAATATATTTAGATACTTCCTAAACAATCGGGTGTAATAACTTAACATTCTAGAGATACTCAAATATTGGCAATCCACGTTAATAGAGACTCATACTACTAATATACGAGTATGGCATGGCGTCATTTATTATTTACTAGCACAATGACATCGTAACGTCAACAGGGTGATTTACCGACAGATGACTCTACAACAAGTCCTCAAAGTTATCAGATGTTCAGTCCTTTCAGGATACTCAGTACCGACAGAGATCTATAAACGTGAAATCCATGTGCATGTGGTGTATACTCTATATTGTTTACATGACGTCATTGCAGTGTCATTCTACTGTATGAAACAACGGGGAGGAGGCTACTCTCTGATGGTGTCCTTTGACTGGCCAGCTCGCCACTTTCGGAGAATCGGCGCTGTGGACGACGAGGGCGAGATCAGTCCCCACTGTACCAACGACAGATTCGACATGAGCGATCGTTGGCAAATGCATTTGCATGTTCAAATTAAAAATGTGTCCGGAGTTTGGGAACCAGATTGCCCTGCGGAAACAGTAAGACTGTAGTATACATCACAAGTGTGTGTGTGTGTGTGTGTGTGTGTGTGTGTGTGTGTGTGTGTGTGTGTGTGTGTGTGTGTGTGTGTGTGTGTGTGTGTGTGTGTGTGTGTGTGTGTGTGTGTGTTTCGCGGCCACAAATGACGTTGTAGTTCGAGTAGCGTCCTTCAGGCACGTCAGGATCCTAATATTGATCGTGATTTTGAACTGTGTTTTCACCAAAGTGGTTCAGGTCGAAGACAATCAGCGCTTTTAGGTTCACCACGTATATTAACGTATTTTAACTTTATAAAGACTAAAGGGTAGTAAGGCTGGCTGAATTGATGCATGTCTTCGTATGCAGTTGCGTCGACCGATGCAAATTATGTCAATCACTGGCGTATCTGGCACAGACTTGCTTATTTAGAGATCGCTGTCATATAGCTGTAATATTGCTGAGTGTGGCGTTAAGCAACAAATAAATAAACAAATAATTCAATGTTTTAACATTAGGTTGGTAAGGGAATCCTGCAATGGACGTTCAGGCTTCAGAAGAAAGAAGGCATAGTGTCGTTTGAAGATGAGGAACTTCAAGTCCAGTGTGATCTGTCTGAAGCTGATATATTATATGATGACTCGGAGAGCGTCGAGGTGGAGGAGTAAGTTTCTAAAATACATTTAAATCAAGAAATCGTTTTCTTGCCTGCAAATATAATGGACGTAATAACAGCAATAACAGTTAGTTATACACAGTGAGCAACCATGACCCGTGAAGATCCGGTTAGAATTGGTCTTCAGCAACCCATGTTTGTCGTAGGAGGCGACTGACGGGATCAGGTTGTCAGGCTCGCTGACTAGGTTTATGCATGCCATCGTATCCAAATTTCGTGGATAGATGCTCATGATGTCAATCACTGGGTTGCCTATCCAATACTCGATTTTTTACAGACCGCCGTCATATAGCTATAATATTGCTATGTGCTTTAAACAAACAATCACACAAACAAACTAAAATAGAGCAGAAACTTTATTCAAAGAAGGTAATGTAGAACGTTCATCTCAGGGAATAGTCAGAAGCCGACCTTCACGACAACCTCCTTCACTGTAACTTTTCTATTCAACACATGTCATTTTTGTAAATGATCAGGGCTGACCCCAAAAATGGAATTGAATTCAAACAGTTATTTTCCTATTGTGAGTGGATAAAATGTTTGGGCACATATACTTTCCGAAGTTCTTCAGAAATGAGAACAGCTTTGATAAGTCCCGTTCTCAAGTTCCGAGGACGATGCGTCAAAGACCAATGTGACAGATCTTAGCTACTCCCCGACTAGATGAATATATATACACGGTGAAAAGAAATTGATTACAATTTCGAAGCAGTGTTTTGTGTATGAACCTTAAATAACATGTTTCCTATTTCAGGAATCGAGTGAGACCCTTAACGGTTGCCACACAGACAAGAGTCAATGTACGGACATACCTTGCATACCCCGACACTCTGGAACCTGTCAAAAACCTTACCATTGGTGTTCCTGTCAGACTGATGGCGAGGCTTCCTGAAGGTTTGCCTAAATCAAGCATGTTGTTACTCCCAGGACCACACAGGTGGCACTCTCTAGATTATAAGAGAGTGTAATTATCTACCATTTTAGCTTACTGTTCCAGGATTATTTTCATTAGAAACATGCAATCTCATTAAAATCAGATCTTAGTTCTCGCTACCGCTAAACAAAGATCTGAGGACATCCCATTACGGGTCACGTCAGACCGACCTTGCGCGCACTTTGACCGACCAATGGAATGACCAATCAGAAGGCAGCTTTCTCCAGCTTTACGGCACTAATTTCAAATTGGTGACTACGCTTCGAAACATATTTTGACAAATTCTCCCTTACAAATTTGAAACCTGAACAAAAGAACATTCTGGAATGGCTAATAGATAGTCTAGATTGTATGGATTCGGTCTTTAAACCCGTAACTATTGTTCGGAATACCCTGTGTTAAAGTTTTCGTGGTTGCATGATTATAAATCACATTCCGACTGTCACTTTCATTATCTGGAAAGTGAGGCTCGGGTTTGTCGGATGAAAGGTCGTTTTGACGTGACCCAAAATTGGATGTCTTCAGGTCTTTGTTAAGCAGTAGGGAAGAACTAAGGTCTGATTTTAATGAGATTGAGAAACATGTATTCTCCTGTTCTGCTGTTGTACATGACGAGTACGACCAGTTATGCAAATACACAATAAGCTGCACTTTTGTGGAGATTTAAAGAGCTGCCAGCAGACCTGCGCTGACGGCAGTTTAGTTGTGATAGTCAACCTTGTTGTGATAGTCAACCTTGTTGTGATAGTCAACCTTGTTGTGATAGTCAACCTTGTTGTGATAGTCAACCTTGTTGTGATATTCAACCTTGTTGTGATAGTCAACCTTGTTGTGATAGTCAACCTTGTGATAGTCAACCTTGTTGTGATAGTCAACCTTGTTGTGATAGTCAACCTTGTGATAGTCAACCTTGTTGTGATAGTCAACCTTGTTGTGATAGTCAACCTTGTTGTGATAGTCAACCTTGTTGTGATAGTCAACCTTGTTGTGATGGTCAAATCAGGAGAGAGCTTTCAAGAAGCAGGACAGGACCAGGGAGGTTTTGAAAACACATATGTGAATCTGGGGACCTGTACATGCGTCACTTTTCTCGGTGTATTCATCTTCAGAAGAACATCTCCATCTTCTTGTTGCAGGGGATGATGTAGTCAATCCGTTGTTTTACCCTTGGAGCTGTCAAGCTGCATCTCCAGATGGAAAGGTTACTGTACAACTGACCGACGACTCCGGGTCAGTTTGAAGTCACTCACTCCCAAATGTCCAACTTGACATGTGACGAAAAGGCAGTAGATGGCCATTTGCTGGAAGTAAAATCTGGTCTCCAAGTGGGGTTGAATGCTTATTATCCGTTCCTCGCTACAGATAGGGACGGGAAACACTGATGTCAATTTGGGGCATCAACATGGACTTCACACTCAACACGCCCACATTCAAATTCACCCTAATAACCTGATGAATACACATATTATACAGTTTGTTAATGATATAAAGAACCATCTTTTAACGTCTTCTTAACAGAAAAGCCAGAATCCACGAATCTGAAGTTTTGACTTTGATTTCACCTTTGCACTTTTCAGCATCCCTTTTCTGACACTGAATCTGGATCACCAAACTTTGCTCAAATCAGTGTGATTTTATCAATATTTGTTTGGCTATCAATGTGACTAAAATTCAATTCATCTAAAGATTAAGCATCTAAAAACCACAAGAAAGCTGTGTGAATAATAATCTTAGTCTTAGTTGCAGGTTTATGAAAGATCTAGTGATGTGTATGTATTGCTTCGATCGGTGCACTAAACGTTCTTTCAAGTTTTTCTCCCTTTTCTCGGAATTTGTCACTATTATATAGTTGAGGTGTTACAACGTCATCAAGATTTTATCTTTTTATTAATATTTTTGGAATATTTATAATACATAGTGAAAAGAAATTTATTACATTTTCGAAGCTGCGTTTTGTGTATGAACCTTAAATTATATTTATATTTAACTTATTTCAAGATTCGAGTGAAACCCTTAACCTTAGCCACACAGACAAAATCATCAAAATAATATTTTTTAGACTAATTATTTTTTCTCTACAATATAAATTCGAAAATGTTAAAACGCCCTTGTTTCAGAATGCAAAAGTCACGTGAGTGAACATTTTGCGACTGGTCAGGTCAATGTGTAGTTTTAGGTCACATGTCAGGTCCCAGATCAAGGTAATGAGTATGTCGGTCAAGGTCACCGTCAGTGTTACCAGTAATGACAACATTACAGGTGAACATTTAGTATTTACAAGACACTTTTATCTAGTTACTTTCTCTTAACTTGATAGTAATCTGTTGATCATGATTTATTTTGGATTTCTTTGTCTATATTATAGAAATAATTCTAGGAAACAGGCTTTCATAGCTATTAAATGACAGGTGTCTAACACATTTAACGCCATGGGCTACTTTCACCATGCCCTTGATCAAATTGTTATGCATTGACATACTAGTATCTATTACCATATCTATATTAGAGGTGAAGGTATCTTCTTTAGAATACGTATACATGTAAGTCATATACTTGAGATTTGAGAGTTGAAAATATTTGTTTAGATGGTAAAGAAACTCTTTAAAACTCTTTTCCCAAGCGTCTCCTACCCCTCCCTCTATTGAGAATTTTATAAGACTTATGTCAGCTGAAAACGAACAAATTATAAAAAGCTTAGGTAAATTTCTCTTCCAAGTCATGAACAATCGAACAGAGACACAGTGTTGAACGGTAAATCATTATTAAATCTATTCAGCATGCGAATATATATACAGTATATTTCCCTTGTATTATGTTCCGGTGGCCTGAAGTACCCAATAGATTTGTCTGTCTGTTTACATGATTTCACAAATATGTAAACTATTTGTTGAGAGCGCTCGTGTACAAGTTGAAGGTGAGCTTCAGTGTTTAATGAGTGAGTGAGTGAGTATGGTTTTACGCCGCTTTTAGCAATATTCCAGCAATATAACGGCGGGGGACACCAGAAATGGGCAAGTGTTTAAAGAAGATGATGTTGCTTGTGTTACCGTGTTTTCATCTACTATTTGGGGCGGTCGGGTAGCCTAGTGGTTAAAGCATTCGCTCGTCACGCCGAATACCCGGGTTCGATTCCCGACATGGGTACAATGTGTGAAGCCCATTTCTGGTGTCCCCCGCCGTGATATTGCTGGAATATTGCTAAAAGCGGCGTAAAACCATACTCATTCATTCATCTACTATTTTGGTTTCTCTTTTCCAGTTGTTCTCTGAATAAAGACGTCGGCTTTGGAAGAATGGACAAGGGCTCTGGTGTGATTCAGTCGGAGATATTTCCCATATTTCAGCTGCGGGGTTACAGTGACGTGGTGTTCAGTTGTGCCTTTGTACCTTCCCTCACACCCGGATATAGGAATCCTGTCTGTGTTCCTACATAGTGGATGACAGGTCAACGGCAAGGTCAATGTATAGTGAGAACATGAATGTCAATCATTGTAAACAAGAGGTAGTAAACATATAAACAGATCTTAGTTCATATTGATTGAGAGGCTGTAAATCCTGACCCGTTCTTCATAATGTACTATCTAAACCGATCGGTGTAATTCAGCATGGAAGTGGGTCTTCCCCATATATTCAAAACAGTAACTGTTGACATTAAATAAACAAAGATATCACTGTCTGTTAATAGGAAATGGATCGTGTTGTCTTCTCGACCACAGCTTCTTGTCGTTGGTATAATGCCATGTGCTTTGTAACAGTGGGTATTGTTGTGCTTTTGTGGTCATTGCGGCAAATGATTGAAGCGCTGGTAAAATGTTGAGTGCTGTAGTGGCCACAAAGTGTGATTAGAGTTACCGCCCCTGGTTGCTGTAAACACATATGGTAGACTTGCTCGTCCGAGAAGTTTCAGGAGGGAATAGTTTCTAGAAGGAAGGCAGTGCCTATATAAGAGCAAGGGAAGGGCGACTCGATGCCTTTTCAGGACCTACTTGCGTCTTATCTACTTGACAAGTGCGGCTTGGATACCTGTCTGACAACACCGACCTCCTGCCAGCGTCCAACACGACACTGGATGAACCGGGACAGGACTGTTTCAAGATTTTCTACATTGGCAAAATTTAGGACATTCGCGAGTGCACTGTCGTTAGTTCTAGGCTCGTTACTTTTGCTGCTGTCGCGTATTTGACCCCTTGTTGTGACTGATTTGACTTAGAAACCAAACACTATTTGTTTCAATATTATGTATTGATTATGCCTTGATCTTGTGTGGTCATTTACTTATTTTCAACTAGTAGTAGTAGTAGTAGTAGTAGTAGTAGTGGCATGTTCTCAGTTCATAAACTAAGAGTGAGTGAGAGAGTTGAGTTTAACGCCGCTTTTAACAGTATTCCAGTTATATTGCGGCGTGTCAGCTTAATGTGGGAGGAAAGACCGAAGTGATGCAGGTCTCAGACGTTTACCACTTCGGTGAAACCCACGAGCACGGGTATGGTGCTGACAAACCTAGAAACATAATCGGGGCGAACCGGGATTCGAGCCCACAATCATAGGTTTCTGGCGTGCCCAAGGGACGCAACTCTGCACAGCAAATCGCGGCGCCTTAGACGACTGGGCCACCCGTGCCCCCTCATCAACTAAGAATACAATTTATTACCAATTGGAATCTCCTCCGTTCAGGGGAATGTTCCCCGTTCCCCAGCTACACATACAACAGAATGTTCCCCATTCCCCAGCTACACATGCAACAGAATGTCCCCCGTTCAACAGCTACACATACAACAGAATGTCCCCCGTTCTCCAGCTACACATACAACAGAATGTCCCCCGTTCTCCAGCTACACATACAACAGAATGTTCCCCGTTCACCAGCTACACATACAACAGAATGTTCCCCGTTGACCAGCTACACATACAACAGAATGTTCCCCGTTCTCCAGCTACACATACAACAGAATGTTCCCCGTTGACCAGCTACACATACAACAGAATGTTCCCCGTTCTCCAGCCACACATACAACAGAATGTTCTCCGTTCCCCAGCTACACATGCAACAGAATGTCCCCCGTTCTCCAGCTACACATACAACAGAATGTCCCCCGTTCAACAGCTACACATACAACAGAATGTCCCCCGTTCAACAGCTACACATACAACAGAATGTTCCCCATTCCCAAACTACACATGCAAGAGAATGTCCCCCATTCAACAGCGACACATACAACAGAATGTTCCCCGTTCTCCAGCTACACATACAACAGAATGTCCCCCGTTCTCCAGCTACACATACAACAGAATGTTCCCCGTTCTCCAGCTACACATACAACAGAATGTTCCCCGTTCTCCAGCTACACATACAACAGAGTGTTCCCCGTTCTCCAGCTACACATACAACAGAATGTTCCCCGTTCTCCAGCTACACATACAACAGAATGTTCTCCGTTCCCCAGCTACACAAACAACAGAATTTTCCACGCTCAACAGCTGCACAAACAACAGAATGTTCCCCGTTCACCAGCTATACATACAACCGAATGTTACCGGTACTCCAGCTACACATACAACAGAATGTTGCCCGTTCACCAGCTACACATACAACAGAATGTTCCCCGTTCATCAGCTACTCATGCAACTGAATATTCCCCGTTCTCCAGCTACACACACAACAGAATGTTCTCCGTTCAACAGCTACACATACAACTGAATGTTCCCCGTTCATCAGCTACACATACAACAGAATGTTCTCCGTTCAACAGCTACACATACAACTGAATGTTCCCCGTTCTCCAGCTACACACACAACAGAATGTTCCCTTTTATGAGCTTTATGTAAAGTATGTGTTCCCACTTCCAGAACAGCGCAGACGAGAGAACTCAAAATAACATACAGTAGTAAGAAAGGTGTTAAATCCACTTAAATCACTTCTTTAGTAGTGAATATTTGCACTTTTAAAGGTTTTTCCATGAAAAAGTAATAACAGATAATAATAAGTAATCAAGATACGATCCTGTTCACACGAGGTTTACAGTAACTAAATCTCAGCTTTGTGCAAGTATGTAGAGTTATCTCCCCTCTACTGTCTCGTGCAAGTGCTCGTCACTTGGAGTTTTTATATTTGTTTTGTGCAGTATTTATCTGCTGTGGTTTATAACGGAGGAATAGTTACAAGTTTAGATTTTTAGAAAGGCGTAAAGTACATCACACTCACACTCACACTCACACACACACGCTCTGGCACGCGCACACACGCACGCACACACAACCACACACGTGTCACGCATGTTGAGGGACGATGGGGTAGCCTTGTGATTTACGCACCTATTCCTCTCGCCTTGCATCCGCGTTCTATTCCGCATCTCGTGAATACAATTCTTGGAGCCAGCTCCAGGATATGAATGGCTACTTGGCTTGTCAGGAGTGTCTCGTGGCAGTGGCAGTCAGAACGACCAAAACTTCTCTCTCGCCTCCTCCCTCCCACTACCTATGGGGGTGAACACAAAAGAATATTTTTCATAAAGTTGCCATATATATTTTTTCAGAAATATACGATGGTCATGGCCAGGTGATATGAAGAAATCTGTTATGTCATGTTACCTTCTGGTGGTTACTGATCTCATTATTAAATATTTAGTGATACTGATTTAGCCGAATAATTATTGATGATTAATATAACAATTAGGAATGAATTTAAGAGTTTATTGGAACCAGAATCTTATAACAAAGAGAAAATTTAGAATTGTTTTAATGCTATATATGTGGTCTGTTTTTGATTAAAGATGAGGTGAGGTGAGGTGAGGTGAGGTGAAATTGCGTTTAACTTCGCGTCCAAGATTATTGCATTTACATAGTGACTTACACGCGCGCGTGCGTGCGTGCGCGCGTGCGTGCGTGCGCGCGTGCGTGCGTGCGTGCGTACGTGTGTGTGTTTGCGCGTGTGTGTGTGTTTGTGTGTCTGCTTGTACTAGACCGGACTGATGCCGATTTATAGTGCTAGCCCACTGAGATACCATGCCGCAGTTAAACATGAATACCCCACTCAGACACAGTATACTGACTCCGAGCCGACCAGTCCTTGTTTTAGACCCTCAATGCCAAGCGCCTGACAGAGTAACAACATGTACCATACTTTAACGTTTTTTTGGTATGACGCAGCCGGGTATCGAACTCCGGACCTTCCGATCTCCTGGCGGACGCTCTACTATATACGATTGGATTGGATTGGATTCTTGTTTAACGCCGCACTCAGCAATATTCGAGCTATATGACGGCGGTCTGTAAATAATCGAGTCTGGACCAGACAATTCAGTGATAAATATCATGAGCATCGATCCACGCAATTGGGATCGATGACATGCATCAACGAAGTCAGCGAGCCTGACCACCCGATCCCGTTAGTCGCCTTTTACGACAAGCATAGTCGTAAAAGGCGACTAACGGAATAGGAACATAACTCTATACCTTCAATTACATTTCTGTCTTTAAAGTAATCTGTAATCTTGGAATAGAAGACGAGTGTCTTTTTGAGTGAAGACCGTCTCCGTGGTCTAATGGTAGAACGTCCGCTCGGAGAGCGGAATGTCCGGGGTTCGATCCCCAGGCGCGTCATACCAAAAGACGTTAAAAGATGGTACTTGTTGTTACCCTGTCTGGCGCTCGGCATTAAGGGGCTAAAACAAGGACTGGTCGGCTCGGAGTCAGTATACTGTGTCTGAGTGGGGTATTCATGTTAAACTGCGTCATGGTATCTCAGTGTGCTAGCACTATAAATCGGTATCAGTCCGGACTAGTACAAGCAGCCACACAAACACATACCCGTGCATGCACGTCGCTATATAAGTGCAATAATCTTGGACGCGACGTTAAACCCCATTTCACCCCACCTTATTGAGTGAGGAGACAGCTCAGTCAATTCAGTCAAGGTTTAATTCAGCCTTGTTTAGTGAAAGAGATATTATGGAAACTAATGACAAGTGTGGCATCACGACTATTCCTGCAGGCGATACTGTCAAATGGCGTTCATGATATTTGACATGTCTTGCGTTGTTATTCAACAGGACTCCTAAAAGCTGATATGCGTTATGTGCAATACACACATGTTCAGTGTCACGTGAAGTAACAGCTGACAGGTGCTCCCACCAACATCATCCCAGTAGCCCCAGCTTCCTGAAGTCTCGAGGAGGTTAGAATATCTGTTCCCCTTGCGTCCTCGCAGTAAAGTTACATAGGACGTAGTTGATGTGTAACACGTAGTTGATGTGTAACACGTAGTTGTGTAACGTTAACGAAAGTGTCTCCTAGACACATTCGACGGAATGTTGAGGGTTTAAAGTCAAAGTGAAAACGCCATATAATTACTTGTTAGCCATATTTATGTAAAGTTATGTTAATTATGTTGTTTCCCCGTTCTAAAATAGAATTCAGCGACAAACAAACGCAGCGACAAACAAACGCAAACACAAAA